CAGTGCGTCTCGAACAGTTCTTTAGGCAACCCGTCCCTGCCCGGAGCCTTGTTTTTCGCCATCGAGCGGAAGGCCTGCTGCACCTCCTTTTCCTACCAATCCGCCGCCACCCTCTCTCGTGCCGTCGGCGACAAGACCCTTCCATCAACCGGCTGCCAGTCTGTCAAGGCCTTCTGTCTGTCCGTCCCGAAGAGGTCTCTGTAGAATTGAGAAGCCACGCCCAGGATCTCCTTGTTTCCAGTGACCAGAACCCCCCCGACGCTTAACTCCTTGATCTATGTCTTCTCCTTCCTGGATCTTATCTTCGCAGACGGTGCCCCATCCGCCGGTTGCGGTTGCCCAGGTTCCGCCAGTGTTACCCCAACCACCGGTGTCAGCCGTTCCCCATCCGCCAGCGGTCCCCCACCCCCCTTCATTGGAGGCGCTTTCCTCTTCCTCGGCTCCCCATGCGGCGCATGCAAATGTCCCGCGTGCTTCGGCGAGACTTTTTCGGCGAAGCTCCTCAGCTTCGCGGCGCGCCAGTTCCTCTTCTTGTTCGACGGTGAGCTTCATCGCCGAGTCGCGCCGGTGGGAGTAAATTTCCAAGAACTTTTTGTACGCGTAGGGTCGCGGCACGTTGTGCGCATCGAAGGTGCCGACGCCAATGCCGCGCAGCATGCCTTGAAGGTGTTGCGAGGGGGATCCGATAAGAGGATGTTCTGGTGTGCCGAACACGCCGCGCGTGGTAATTTCGAGCTCCAGTTGCGACATTCCTTCTTCTGGCGGCGCGTGGCGCTCGGCTTCGGCGATGGCGGCGAGTCCACGGCCGGCAATTGCGCTGGTTGACGCTGTTGGCGTGTGGCAGTACCTGTAGATGCCGTCTGGGTTAGGGTCATGCAGCGCTGTTTCGCGTGGGTGGGGGTGATGCGGTACCCACGGCCTTTCGTCAGGGTGCTTCCAGTCCCTGCGGTGACTGTGTTCGAAGCGCAGTGGCACGAGGTCGATTAGCTCGTGCGAGTCACCGCTGCAGTCGGGGATGTCGAAGTCCAGGACATACACTACGTTTTCGGATTGTGCTCGCCCGATCTGCTTGCGGGGGAAAGTCCTCGACTCGTAGTGCAGTAGAATGTCACGCGTTGCGCGATCCGTGCTGAGATCGACACCCCAGTCCATGAGCTGTGCGGCGGAGAGCAGGTTGAAGCGCAGGTTCTGGACGATCAACACATCGTTGAGCGTGATGTGCATGCGGCTTCCGCGTGCCTTGAGCACGACGATGCCTTGCGCGCAGGCGTGTATTGTTAGCCACGGTGACGTGGGTGACTGTGGGGGTGGCGACGGCGTTGGATATGTAACGCTCCGACCCCACCATGTGCTGGCCGCAGCAGCTGTCCAGGTACCAAGTGTTGTAGCGCTTCCAGTCGTCACGTGCGAGCAGTGCCAATCGCGGCGTGACGATGTGCGGGGTGTCAAACTTAAGAAATTGCTCGCGCGAGAGCCAATCGAGTGGCGCCGCCCGCATATCAGGTACGTGCGGCGGGCTTTCAAGCAGCGGGACTGGAAGGTTCCAGTCCTAGTCGTCATCGTCGGTGAAGTCGTGGCGCGGGCTGAACGGGTTGTTGTTGGTGAACGCACTGATGGGGTGCGGTGCTGGCTCAGGTGAGGGTGAGCGAACACGGCGACGACGTGACTCGCCCGTCATGGCCATGTTGCTCATGACGTTGCGCGTAGGGGCAGTTGATGACGGCTGCTGCTGCTGCTGATGCTGAACCGCTGGGTTCAGGTTGCGCGTGGGGGGTTGATACCCCTGGGCTGGACGCATGTCGCCTCGTGCGTCTTGTCGGCCGGACCAATTGCTCGGATTGGTCTTACGAGGGCGGGATCGGGATTTACATCGATCCGCCAAATGCCCGAAGCTTCTGCAAATCTTGCAGTAGAGGCGCCGCGGCCGTCGCTCTTCGTTGTTGTCGGCGTAGAAGGCGAGCCGTTCACGTTCTCGTCGTGGCGCTGGTCGCAGCTGATCCATATCCCGTTGTTCGACGAGAAGGGCGGCGCAAAGGGCGGCCTCCGAGATGACCCCCTGCTGCCGGAGAAGCGCCTTGCAGGGCCGCCACTCTGGGCCGAGCCCTTGAAGCACGATGTTGACAAAATTCTCTTCTGATATCGAGCTTCCCAACTTCGCGATTTGATCGCGAAGGCTCCGACACCGATTGATGTAACTGTTGGCCTTCTCCCCAAGGGCCATTTTGGTTTCCAGTAGCTGCTGGAGCAGCCGGCTCTAAGAAACAGAGTCCTTCGGCTGATACACGCCGTTCAGGTGGCGGCAAGCGTCGAGGGCTGGAGCAGCCGATGTCTTGTATGAACGAATGTTCAACTGCTCCGCCGGCGACATGTTGCGCAGGAGGATGCCGTACGCCATCAGGGACTCGTTGTAGTACCTTGTCCTGGCGTTGTCGGTGTCCTCAGCGGGCTCCGCGTAACTCCCGTCGAAGTAGTGAAAAATCTGAGCGTTCTGCAGCAGGAGCTCCAGCTCGAAGCTCCAGGTATAGAAGTCTTTGCCGTCAAAACACGCACTTGTTTTTATTTTTGATATGCTGAGAAACCTTGATTGCGCAGAGAGAACTGCCTCTTCACTGGGACGGGGAGTCTTGGGGGTTGAACCATTTGTGTCGAGGGAGAAGGTGTGCGGGGCGGCGTTCTGGCCATTTGGGGCCGGTTGAGAAGGTTGCGAGGAGGTTCCCGCGTCGCCATTCCGCAATGTTTGGAGCCCTTGCTCCAAGCTGGTGAGTCGCTGAAGAAGTTGTGCGAGGACTTCGGTCCCGATAGTCGTCCTTCCCTCGTTTGTTGCAACCGGGTTGGGTTGCGCTTCAGCCGTCAGATTTGTCTGACCACCAGATCCTCCGGCCATTCTTACACGCGAGCGTGTGCCGGACGCCACTTCCCGAATGTCGTAGATTTCGGGAGTGGCAGTGCGAAGGATTCCCGAGCCGCTCCCATACCATGTTACGATCGTAAATTGATCGTTGCCAGGATCTCCTCGGAAAGGTTCGCACACAGCTAGGTAGAGTTGGTGGGCCCTTGACCTCAATAGCAGAGTGAATGTAAAATGCTTGAGATAATTAAAACATGCAAATACAAAGCTATAAATATGAGTACAGGGGAATTCGAATCGACCTAGCTAGCCATGTACTCTAAGGGGTACATTCCCTTATTCAAATTCATTCCCAACCGTGCGGCGCGTACAATTACGAAACTGTTCCCACCCAATTCCTCCTGACTGCAACTGCCCGATGTCGTCTGCTCCGACGGTCCAGATCCACCCTAACCGTCTGACGCTTCGAGTCAATTCTGACTCCTCGCATTCGTTCTCGTTACTTCGTGCTTCCTTAGCTGCGGTGAGGAGTGCACTGTAATGTTCATACATTACTATTCGTAACAGCACCCCCCCTCGAAAATCACATTTTATTACAAGCGAATGTGCGCTTATATCCGGGCAGGGCTGATTTTATCAGGGTAATTACCCTGATTTCAGGGTGATTTCAGACTTGTCACATTCTGGTCCCTGTAATTTCAGGTTTATCGTCTTCTGAACACTGATCTTGTCAGAGTAGTACTTTAGCGAACCCTGGAATTTTGTATACACTCACAGAGTAGTGTTCTTAAGGACCCTGTCCATACAGAGTATGCGTCTTGTTGACCCTGAATGCAACGTTATCGGGACGAAGCTTCCAGGAACCTTCGTCCCGATAACCCCCATGTGCGTAATCATGATTACGCTTGCACCCATCTCAGGGAATCCATGCGCGCTATCCAGGTTATCGCAGTACACTAAGTTTTTGTTAGAATGACTAAAAATTCGGTTTCTGATTTTTGTTGGCTGTTGTCAGAACATATATAGCTTATGCTGTTGTGTAGGCTATAGTGGGGTATCCCATAGGGGGTACAACCCAATTAGGGTTTTCTATATGTACTCACCTCATTCATAGTTCATTCATCCTCGTTCTTCATTCTTCTCATGGTATCGAGCAGGTTCCCTCGTGGGAACTGTTCCTAGGGCCCACCGTTTTTTTTTTCCTGCCCGGAGCGCACTCTGCCCCTACCCGAGTCGCGCTCCCCTCTCTCTTGGCCCCTAGTGGCCCCCTTTAGCCGCCCGTCACGGCCCTTAGACGCCCGCGCGCCGCCCGTCCCGGCCCCTTAGACGCCCGCACGCCGCCCGTCCCGGCCCCCTAGACGCCCGTGCGCCACCCCGCCCGGCCCCTAGACGCCCGCGCGCCGCCCGTCCCGGCCCCTAGACGCCCGCGCGCCGCCCGTCCCGGCCCCTAGACGCCCGCGCGCCGCCCGTCCCGGCCCCTAGACGCCCGCGCGCCGCCCGTCCCGGCCCCTAGACGCCCGCGCGCCGCCCGTCCCGGCCCCTCGACGCCCGCGCGCCGCCCGTCCCGGCCCCTCGACGCCCACGCGCCGCCCGTCCCGGCCCCTAGACGCCCACGCGCCGCCCGTCCCGGCCCCTAGACGCCCGCGCGCCACCCGGCCCGACCCCTCGACGCCCGCGTGCCGCCCGTCCCGGCCCCTCGACGCCCGCGCGCCGCCCGTCCCGGCCCCACGCCGCCCGTGAGCCGCCCGTCCAGGCCGCGCACCGCAGTCCCGGCCCCACGCCGCCCGTGCGCCGCCCGTCCCAGCCGCGCGCCGCCGTCTCGGTCCCCACGCCGCCTGTGCCGCTGAGGAGCTGAGCCGCCCGAGCCGCCCGAGCAGCCCGAGCCGTGCTGCCCCTCAGCAGCACAACCGAGCCGCCCGACAGCAGAGCAGCCGAGCCGCTCAACAGCCGAGCCGCCCAGCAGCCGAGCCGCCCAGCAGCCGTACCGCCCAGCAGCGGAGCCGCCGAGCCGCCGAGCCGCCCGGCAGCCAAGCCGCCGAGCCGCCGCGCCGCCCTCCTTCCGGGCCGCCCGACCTGTCCAGTCTGGTGAGCACAGCGCCCTTTCACTGCACTGCCCTCACCCTACTGTTTGCGCTGCCAGTCGTCTAGGGTCATGGCTACCCCTAGTGTTCTAGTCTTTGACACTGAGGGTCGGGCCATTGACTTTGAGGTCTGGGTGGATGACCTGCAGCTGTTCTTACAGTGCGATAGGGCAGATGGTCTCTCTCTCTTTGACCTCACCTCTGGCGCCTCCACTGCCCCTGCTGCTGACGCCGACGCCACTGTTCGCTCCCAGTGGGCCACGCGCGACGCTGCTGCACGTCTTGCTGTGCGTCGCCACCTCCCTACCTCCGAGCGTGCACACTTTAGTCAGTACAAGAGTGCTCAGACCTTGTACGACGCTGTAGTTGCGCGCTACTCCTCCCCTGCCACTGCTGCACTGAGCCGTCTCATGCTACCGTACCTCTTTCCTGACCTTTCTGCCTTTCCCACAGTCGCTGACCTCATTACGCACCTCCGCACTAGTGACACTCGCTACCGCGCTGCACTCCCTGCTGACTTCTGCGCCAAGAACCCCCCCCCCATGTACATCACTCTTTACTACATAGTCACTCGCCTTCCTGACTCCCTTCGCGTAGTCAGGGACCACTTTCTCTCTGTCTGTCCCACCACTCTCACTGTTGACCTCCTCGAGAAGTCCCTCCTAGCGGCCGAGAAGAGCATAGTCGCTGTAGGGGCCTCTCGTGGTGACCCGCGCACCCCCATCTTTGAGGGGTGTTCCCCCTCCCCCCTTCTCCCCTCTGTTGCCTCTGCTGCTGCGGCCGACCTCCTTGGTCTTGAGTCGGTCGGTGTGGCGTCTGCCCCTAGTGGGAGACGCCGCTCTGGCAAGGGCAAGGGGGGCAAGGGCACTGGAGGAGCGAGCGGGGGCGGTGGAGGTGGAGGTGGCGGCAGTGGGGGGAGTGGGGGTGGCGGTGGGAGTGGAGGTGGGGGTGGAGGAGTCGGTGGCGGCAGTGGAGGCGGAGGTGTCGGCGGCGGTGGCAGTGGGAGCGGGGGTGGCGGAGGTGGCGGCGGCGGAGGCGGAGGTGGAGGCGGCGGCAGTAGCGGAGGCGGCGGAGGCGGAGGAGGCGGCGGGGGTGGAGGTGGTGCTGGTCGCGGGTCTTCGCAGAGGAGTGGCTCCGGTGGTGGCTCGCGCCAGCAGCAGCAGCGTGGTCGTGACACCTTGTCCCCTCAGCAGCTTCGTGAGTGGTACACTGCGCGTCAGCGAGGTGGGGGTTTTGGTCCGTGCTCCTACGTTTTGCGCACCGGCGACCGTGCGGGTGAGCAGTGTGGGGGTCCCCACCCCACTCAGCGCTGCTTTGGCCGCCTGACGGACGCGTGGCGTCACCAGTTCCCGGAGGCCTCAGAGATCCCTCGTTGGGGTGACCTGTCCAGGGCGGGTGTTGCCATCTATGATCTTGACTTTGATGCTATTCTCTCTGCCATGTATGCTGTGTCTATTAGTGATGAGGGTGACTGTTACCGGTGTTTCCCGCCCGATCCGGGTATTGAGACTGCTGCTCTAGGTCCTGGTGAGGCTGCTGCCCTAGGTGCTTGCGACGCTGCTGCCCTAGGTGCTCGTGTGTCTGTGTCCTCAGGTACTGGTGAGTCTGCGCTCTCAGGTACTACGTCGGCTTCGGCCTCCCTCACCTTCACCCTTGACTCTGGGGCGTCTCGCTCCTTCTTTAGGGACCGCACCACACTCACACCGCTGAGTCGACCGGTTGCAGTGTCTCTGGCTGACCCCTCTGGGGGTCCTGTCCTGTCTCGCTTCTCCACAGTCCTCCCGTGTCCGGCGGCTCCCTCTGGCACCCTGTCTGGTCTCTACCTCCCCTCGTTCTCTACGAACCTGGTGAGTGGTGCTGACCTACAGGATGCGGGTGTACACCAGTTCACTCCTGCGCGTCAGCGGGTGACGCACTGTACAGAGGCTCGCACAGGCCGACACCTGGCTACGTTTACCCGTCAGCCGGGGTCGAGCCTGTACACACTGACCACTGCGTCTCCTCCCGTTACTGAGTCTGGTAGAGTCGCTTCGTCGGGTCAGGTGTTTGCTGCTGCGTCCAGGTCTGGTCCTGAGTCTGCCCCCTGTTCTTGTCGTCTCCTGTCTCACGAGACTCTTCTCTGGCACCACCGTCTTGGTCACCCCTCTCTGCTTCGGCTCAGAGGCATGGCCTCCCGTCTTCTAGTGTCTGGTCTCCCCCGGTCCCTCCCTCCCCTTCCTCAGGGCCCTGGCCCTACCTGTGTCCCCTGTGTCGAGGGGCGCCAGCGTGCTGCCCCTCACTCCTCCCAGTTTCCTCCGACAGAGGCCCCGTTGCAGACGCTCCACATGGACGTGTGGGGCCCAGCCCGCGTCCGTGGGCAGGGTCACGAGCGCTACTTCCTGCTCGTTGTTGACGACTACTCGCGTTACACCGCAGTCTTCCCCTTGCGCGGCAAGGGTGATGTCACTGAGGTGCTGATCGACTGGATCCGCGCAGCTCGTCTCCAGCTCAGGCAGAGCTTTGGCTCCGACTTTCCTGTTCTGCGTCTGCACTCGGACAGAGGCGGAGAGTTCTCCTCTGGCCTTCTGCGAGCCTACTGTCGTGCACGAGGCATCCGTCAGACCTTCACGCTCCCGGACTCTCCGCAGCAAAATGGGATTGCTGAGCGCAGCATTGGCATGGTCATGGACGTCGCTCGTACGTCTATGATGCATGCGGCTGCCCCCCATTTTCTGTGGCCGTTTGCGGTGAGGTACGCGGCACGTCAGATCAACCTTCACCCCAGGGTCTCCAGGCCGGAGACCTCCCCAGCCTTGCTGTGGACCGGGAAGGTGGGCGATGCGTCGGCGTTCCGGGTCTGGGGATCTCGGGCGTTTGTCCGCGACTTGTCTGCGGACAAACTGTCCCCTCGTGCTGCTCCTTGCGTCTTCCTGGGGTTCCCCCCAGACGCGCCTGGGTGGCAGTTCTACCACCCCACCTCTCGCCGTGTTCTGTCCTCTCAGGACGTCACGTTCGACGAGTCGGTACCTTACTACCGCCTCTTCCCCTACCGCACTCCGTCCCCCCCCCCGCCCCCGCTCTTCCTTGTACCAGGTCCCCCCCCGGTAGACCCCCTCCCCCCTCAGGGTCCTGCCCCTTCAGGTGTGTCCCAGGTAGACGCAGTCGAGCCTGTCGAGGTCACTGGTGACTCTGGTGCTGCTGGGGGTGCTGAGCCTGGGGGTGCTGGGCCTGGGGGTGCTGGGCCTGGGGGTGCTGAGCCTGGGGGTGCTGAGTCTGGGGGTGCTGAGTCTGGGGGTGCTGAGCCTGGGGGTGCTGAGCCTGGGGGTGCTGAGCCTGGGGGTGCTGAGCCTGGGGGTGCTGAGTGTGGGGGTGCTACGCCTGGGGGTGCTTTGCCTGGGGGTGCTGGACCTGGGAGTGCTGCGCCTGGAGGTCCTCCGCCTCGAGTTTCTACGCGTGCTTTGTCTCGCCGGGAGCCACTCTCTCCACAGGAGCTGCGCGAGTGGTTTGCCCGGCGCTGGAGCCGTGCTGCTGGTGCTGGAGGTTCGTCGGCTACTGAGGGTGCTGCTGTTGCGGGTCCCGGAGGTGCTCGTACTGGGAGTACTGGAGCTGCTGGGCCTGCGGGTTCGACTGGAGCTGGTGCTGCTGAGGGTGTTGGCGCTGAGACTACCACTGGCGGTCCTGCTGGGGGTGCTCCTGGTGTTGCTCGAGGTTCTGGTGCTACTGGAGGTGCTGCTGGAGCGGGTGCTCCTGCTGGGGGTACTGGTGCTGTCCCTGCTGTTTCTGGCGTAGCTACGCGGCCTCGACCGTACTTCGTTCCACTCCTGCAGCAGGTTCTTGGTCTTCCGCCCTCTCCTGGTCCTCCTCCTCTCTTGGAGGGTCCACAGCCTGTCCCGTCGCGGTCACTGCTACAGCCTACCTCCCCTTTGCCTGCTCCTTCTCCCTACACTGGTCCTACTGGAGGTCTTACTGAGCGTCGTGAGCCTGCGTCTCGCCCTGCGTCGCCTGTCCGTGCTGCTCGCGCTAGTGGTCGTGGTTCGCGTCAGCGTCCTCCTCCTGTCCCTGGCACGCACAGGATGTCTCTGCGTCCGTCTACTGCTCCTCTGCGTGCCCCTTTGCCTTCTCCTCCTGAGTCCTCTCTTCCTGCTCTTCCCGACCCTGCGTCGGACTCTCTTCGTGCTGCCAGTCCTACTGTCACGCGTCTCCTTGCTACTGTCGTCACTGACCCTTCCTTCGAGTCTACTGCTGCGTCTGCCCTAGTTACTGAGCTCGTCGACTTTGCTGCTCGCTGTCGCCTAGACTACGCTGCTAGTCTTGTCGCTGAGTCTGGGTCTGCCTGTCCTCCGTCAGTCGGGGGTGAGTGTGCCCTTGGCACGGACGTCCTTGAGGACAGGCAGGAGGAGTTCCAGTGTCTGGCAGCTGCTTCACCTCATCTCGTGTCCGTACTGCTTACCCCTGAGGGAGACCCGGATGCACTTGACATCCCGACTCCGCGCTCTTACGCGGAGGCGATAGAGGGTCCCTACTCCTCTCAGTGGCAGGCAGCTATGGATGCAGAGATGGCTTCCTGGAAGTCCACAGGCACCTACGTTGACGCTGTCCCCCCTCTTGGGGCGAACATCGTCAGTGGCATGTGGATCTTCAGGGTGAAGCGGCCGCCGGGTTCTCCGCCTGTCTTCAAGGCACGTTACGTGGCTCGTGGCTTCAGTCAGCGACAGGGAGTTGACTACTTTCAGACCTTCTCCCCCACCCCGAAGATGACCACTCTTCGGGTGCTGCTACACGTTGCTGCTCACCGTGACTACGAGCTGCACTCTCTCGACTTCAGCACTGCTTTCTTGCAGGGCAGCCTGCACGAGGAGATCTGGCTGCGCCGCCCACTTGGCTTCACTGGGTCTTTCCCTCCTGGTACCCAGTGGAGTCTCCGGCGTCCAGTCTACGGTCTCCGCCAGGCGCCACGTGAGTGGCACGACACACTGAGGACTACGCTTGCGGCTCTTGGGTTTGCTCCTTCTACTGCCGACCCGTCGCTGTTTCTACGCACCGACACCTCTCTGCCGCCGTTCTACATCCTCGTGTACGTCGACGACTTGGTCTTTGCCACAGCTGACACTGCTGGACTCGCCCACGTGAAGTCCGAGCTGCAGAAGAGACACACGTGCACAGACCTGGGTGAACTGCGCAGCTACCTTGGCTTGCAGATCAACCGGGACAGAGCACGCCGCACCATTACCCTGACTCAGTCACACATGGTGCAGCAGGTCCTTCAGCGCTTCGGCTTCACGTACTCCTCGCCTCAGGCCACTCCTCTGCCTACTCGCCACTCACTCTCAGCTCTGCCTTCGGATGAGTCCGTAGAGACGAGTGGCCCGTATCCAGAGCTTGTTGGCTGCCTCATGTACCTGATGACCTGCACACGACCTGACCTTGCATACCCTCTTAGCATTCTTGCACGCTATGTTGCTCCTGGGAGACACCGACCAGAGCACATGGCTGCAGCGAAGAGGGTGTTGCGATACTTGTGCAGTACGTCGGGCATGGGACTAGTGCTTGGAGGGCGGAGTCCAGTGGTCCTCACTGGGCACGCGGACGCTTCTTGGGCTGACGACCAGGCTACGCAGCGGTCGTCGCAGGGTTACACCTTCAGTCTTGGTTCCGGCTCTGTCTCGTGGCGAGCTACTCGCTCGTCCTCTGTTCTCGGCTCCAGTTGTGAGGCTGAGATCTACGCCGGGGCCATGGCTGCACAGGAGCTTCGCTGGCTCACCTACCTGCTGACTGACCTTGGAGAGCCGCCTCGTTCTCCTCCAGTGCTGTACGTAGACAACAAGGCCATGCTGGCCTTGTGTCGAGAGCAGCGCTTGGAGCACAGAACGAAGCACATTGCTCTCCGTTACTTTCTTGCTCGTGAGCTGCAGCAGCGTGGTCAGTTGCGACTTGCGTACGTGGCCTCTCAGGCCAACACTGCTGATGTGTTCACCAAGGCACTTGCGCCTTGTGACCATCAGCGCTTCTGCACTCAGCTGGGTCTTGTACCTGTCTTGCCTCACTTGCTCTCCTCTTGACCTTACTTGTACTGTCACATATATATACCTGCTCTTGCTTGTCTAGCTCTATATATATATGTGTACTCCTGCATGTGAACTGGCCTTGTGGCCTTGTCGTTGTGCTCGGACTGTGTGGTGACGTTGTGATCCACCCTGAGCTTGCTCTGCTTTGCTTGACTGGTCTTGTGACCCCTTGTTCTCCCCCACTTTGCCTATGGGGGTGTGTCAGAACATATATAGCTTATGCTGTTGTGTAGGCTATAGTGGGGTATCCCATAGGGGGTACAACCCAATTAGGGTTTTCTATATGTACTCACCTCATTCATAGTTCATTCATCCTCGTTCTTCATTCTTCTCAGCTGTAAACTTCAACCGAGAAACAAATCGCGATCTGGCGGATCGCAAAGTGATTCGGCAGGAGATTAAAAAAAACCATCCGTAGTGAAACACCGTATTGCCATGTGACTGATAATTTATAGTCATCAGCTGTTTTTCGTTAACTTTTGAGAAAAAGACATGTGTAAATCATAATAATTGTGAAACTAAATGAGACACTAATATTGAAAAACCTCTCCCCCCACCAAAACCAGGTTGAGTCTCGACACCCCTCCCATGAGCAGTCCGTTCCCCCATTTCCTCCCCCCCTTCTCCCCCTTTTGTGCGGACGACCCGCGGTCACGAAATAGCCCCCACCCACCCCACTCACTTGCTCCCTCCCCCTTTGCACACCCCTCGCTCTCGCCCCTGCGCCCCTAGGAGATCCTCCCACGCCACATGCACTCCCTCCAGCCAATCCGCCAATCCAGCTAGATTTCTCGCGTCAAACACGTCACTGTTTTTCTCGCCAAACTAGAAAGAAGAAAAAAATCAACCCTGATTTCAATTCGCCAACCCTGACAGCTCAGACTTACGATTTCGTGAACCCTGAACATCGCAAGAAGGCTCAGGCTTGGCGTTTTGCGGAAAATGTGCCTTCAGGGTAAATCTCTTTTTGGGGGATTGAAAACAGGGTACCCATATTTGAATCGTCAGCCCTGTATCGGGGGTCTTACGGTAGTATCCCTTATTTCGTTTTTTCAGATCTCATTATTTTTCCTACGGTCCTTATTTTATACGCTCTCTCCTCCTCTCCTTTATCTCTCCACTCAATTTCCACTCCTCTCTTTCACAATAATTTGATTTACTCCCACTTCTCTTCACCCCTCCATTTCTCCATACTCTTTAATAGCAATATGTAAATAACATGTATTGTACTTTTGTTACGGGTGCAATGAATCGAAGTAGCGAGAATTGCACTAAGGTGTCAAACGAGTACAAAATGTGAGCGAAGGCATGAGCGAACATTTATACGTGAAACATGCAAACGGTAACGCGGTGCGTGCGAGCTAGCTAGTGCTACGCTGGAGCGAGGCTCGGGCTAGTCCCGAAGCGTAGGCCGACACGGCCGGTCCAGCAGTGCGAGGTTTGGTAAAACAGTGCGCGCTAAGTCGGCGAAGCCCTGTTAGTAGTAACGGGTGAACAACGGCTGCTGCTGTACGCGATGTTGCAGGGTGCGCTAAGGAATATCGAGAAAATTCCTTACAACTCTCCTTTTATTGAATGAGCAGCAGCACCCCTCACCAGCCTCTGCACCACACAAGATTCAACAATTTCCGATATACGCTCACTTATGACCCAACCATACTGCTCCATCTACGTCTCTGGCAGGCCAAGCCTCGGGAATGTCCAAGAGTCATCTGACATGTTCCCTGCATTCCTCTAAACCTAATAGACGCCGGCAGCCATACTTCGTAGGAGCACTCCGCGAGGAGACCAACGCGAGCTCGAAAGTCCTTATTTTGAGAGCGATTTTCTGCACGTTTCGGTTTCGCGCGGCGTCGTCCCTGCCGTAGGAGGTAGCTCCGTAACTCCGAGTGCGCCATTTCTCCGTCAACATGGCGAAACCTCCGTCCTTAGCTTCGTAACATCCGCATTGGTGATGCATTCAGTCATTCTCCCGACTTGATTTCCCGCTCATTTCTGCCTAGTCAGTCACTTCCCATCGCACACACTAAGCAGCGCACATGGCTGCTGCAGCTGGAACCGCGGCAGCGCCAGCTGTAGCGACCGACGGGCCGCTATGGAAGACGCGATTCCTGGACTATTTCGTGGTGTGCGGCTTAGGTCTGGACCTGCGGTTAATGGACGGCACTCGCGGATTCCACGGCATGAAGAGCCATGGTGTGCGCATTTCGTACATGCCTGTGCTCATCGACCGCCTGCCGGCTGAGGAGCACAAGAAATTCAAGATCCCGGAAATGTTACCGTTGGTGCGACATCCTCTCAATGAGAACTTCCTTTTTTTTCAAGCTCTAAGAAATCACATTATGCTTTTAGGCGGAGTTAATGCATTAGAGTAGCGTTCCGCCTAGGTTGTCAGCCGCACGCCTGCTTCTGTCACGCAGATTCCGCATTCCGCGTCAGCTGTGCGTACATTGTTCGCGCGCTTCGCTTTTCGCATCGACCCTCCTCTACTCTACAGCTCCTCTTGCTCCCGACATTCTTGCCCCCGCGTCCAACCACGTGGTTCCCTGCGTCCCCGCGCGTCCCCCTGTGCCGTCCCCCTGTGCGCGTCCCCCTGTGCCGTCCCCTGCTCCGCCCCCCTGCGCCATCCCCTTGCGCCGTTCCCCCCAGGCCGTGCTCCCCGGCGGGCTGCGCTTCTACAGCCATGGCGCCAACCAGGACGAGCCGCTGTCGTTCCCGCGATCCTACCCCATCATCCTCACCGGTACGCCCCTCGCACCCTCCCGCACCCTTTCGCCCTCACATCCATAACCTGGGCTGTCGCAGTTCCCGCGCCCATGCGCGAATGCCAGAATATCAAATCCACTTGTCCGCACGCAGCGTCGCGGTACGCCAGGGAGAGTCGTCACGCCTCAGCTGTCTCGTCCAAGAATCCCGTTCTCCGCGCCTTTAGAGCCCTTTGCTCCTCCGTGCACCATCTCACGCTCTGCCTACTCTTTTCCTCCCCACACTACCTCTCCTCCCTCCCCGCCCCACCCCCCCCCCCAGAGGGCGACGGCACCAAGGTGTACGTGTCAGTGCTGGCGTTCCGCGACCTCGTGGACGATGACGTGGCGCAGGCGTACTCCATCCCGCCCAACTCGTACGCGGACAAGTGTCTGTGCGTGGTGTCGCACTACCCCTTCCTCGACACCTTCGCCGACCTCCTCACTGAGATCCACCGCCTCGCCTTCCAACCGCTCGGCAGCCCGTCAGTGCCCTACCTACCTACCCACTCTTCCCTCCCTCACAGCCCTGCCTGCCCTCCCTCCCCTCGCTGCCCTTCCTGCCCCACCTCCTCTCCCTCCCTCCCTTTCCTTCCTCCCCTCCTCTCCCTCCACTCCTATTTTGTTGCGACGCTTGTGTTCTCTCTTGCCCCTCACCGATGGTCCATTCTCATGCCTTGAATAATCCCCTCCTACTCGGGTGCAAAGCTGCTCCTTCTCAGCGTTCTCTGCCCATCACATGGCACAAAGTCATCAACCCTATCGAATGCTCTGGTGTGGCTTGCTGGCATGTCACTGCATGGCATGGCATGGCTTGAGGCTGGCATGGTTTGGAATGTCCTGGCATGGCATGGCATGGCAGGCGGCCGATATGGGACATAATAGCGGGGGTGATGTCGGTGCCGCTGCCATCAAGCCCGCAGCAGACGGTGGTGTTCAGCGTTGAGAGCGTCGTGCTCTCCACCACCCTGCCTGACCCCAACGCCCTCCCCTCCTCGCACGTCAGTGCCCCCTCTTCCCACCCCACAATATCCTACAATGCCACGGCCTTGCCTCCCGCTGCCATTGCCCCGTCTCACACTCTAGAGCAACCATGACGCTTGGTGCGTTATGCACCAGCATGTACGTGCTGCTGCCTGGCACCTGTAGCCCCTCTTCCTCCCACACCTGCATTGCACCCCCTGAGAACCGCCTTGCGTCGTCACATGGACCTGTGCCCGCATCTCACCGCACACACCATTGCAATCGTTCTTTCGACTCTGCCTCCTCTTTCCCTGCCACTCCTCTCTCTTGCACCTCAGGTGTCGTTTCTCCCCCTTGTAAGCTGTCTCGACATTGACAACATCATCCAGCTCTTCACAGCCGTGCTCCTGGAGAGAAGAGTGCTGCTGCTTGGGGGCATGTGAGTATTTCAATATGGAATCTATGGCTTGTTCTTGCACATTTTTCTCCCACTTTCCATTCCTCATTCTATCTGCGCCTGCTCCTCGCTTCCCCCTGCTCGCCTCTCCTCTCGTCTGTGCTGCCCGCCCTCATATCCCTGCAGGCTGAAGATACTGACAAACGTGGCGGAGGCGGTGTCAGGGCTGCTTTACCCCTACAAATGGATGGTAAGCAGTGGTGACAGTAGGCCGGAAGGGAAGGGAGGGTGAGCACGGGCTGTGGTGGCTGAGTCGCCTTGTGGGGCGTGGCAGTGATGCTTGTCGTGGGTGGCTGCCTGCTAGGCTGCCTGCTGCGCACGTCCTTTCTTACTGTCAGCGTTCTCTTGTTCTCACCACCAGCCTCACACTTGAAAGCATTCTCGTACAAAGTCTTGTCAACTTTATGCACACGAAGTGCAAAAGACAAAGTGTCTGTCTGCTGTGCACTCCTCCTCTTCTCTCTCGCCGCCTTCTCCCTCACAACCACTCCTCCACCTCCCCACCTCCCCCCCGTGCCGCAGCTGCCGTACATCCCAGTGCTGCCGCTGCCACTGCTGGAGCTGCTGCACGCGCCGGGCATCTTCATCTACGGCATCAACACCTCCGAGTTCGAACTGCAGGACGAACTCGATGGGGTCAGTAGCCAGTGTCATTGACGACTCGAGAGTTGCACACTCATGGCGCTGGGTAGCAGGCAGGCGCACATTAGGGCTGATAGCTGCCAGAAGGGAGGGTGGTGAGCAGTCAAAAGGAGGGCTGTAGCCGAGCAGTCAGAAGGGAGTGTTGCGAGCAATCAAAAGAGGGCGAGTTGTTGGTGACTGTGAGTCAGCCCACGCTTGAAAGGTTTAGTGTGCTCCACTCTCTGCATCTCATTGCAACCAACCCCCCCTCCCATCCCTCCACGCCCGCATCCCCTGTGCCAGTGGGTGCTGGTGTGCCCAGACAGACACAAGATGTGTGCCGACCACAATACAGACACGTTGAAAAATACGCGAATGCACATCTCCCTTCAACCAAACCCTCCCTCAATCCCCATCCCACCTCACCCCCCCTTCAACCCCCCCTTACCCGCTCCCCGTGGCAGGTGGTACTGGTGGATCTGGATTCCAACCGCGTGCGCATGATGAGTCTGGAGAGCGAGCAGGAGGAGGAGGACATCCCGCCGCTGCCCGAGCCCGAGGCCTCCGAGCTGAGGGCGGCACTGCACGCGCTGATCCACCCGCACCTGGCGGTGCTGGAGTCGGTGAGGCACCACCGCTCGCCGCTGCTGGCTGCGGGCGTGCAGCAGTTTGACGAGAAGACGTTCAAGACGTGGGGCCGCCACCACGACGAGCAGTTCCGGTGAGGGCGGTAGCACTGGCAGTTCGGGTGGGAGTGTGCTGGTGGATTTATCACTGTGTCCTTACATTCAGTTGTGATATGCTTGCTGTTGTAATGTGACCCACCCAGCAGCATGGCACCCCTCCTCCTGACGCTCTGTCTTGGTGCGCATGGTTGCTCTCGCATGTGCTTGAATTGAACCCATCCCACCGTGCTCAACAAGGTTCTGACACGACCCTGACATGTTCCCGCTCTCACGACCCTGACATGCTTGTCACATGCTCCCCTACATGCTCCCGACATGCCCACATCATGTGCTGCTCACCATGTGCAGGCAGCTGTTCCTGCGCTTCCTGGCGTCCGTGCTGCATGGCTACAAGGACTTCGTGGTGCGTGCTCCTGCTTTCTCACACGCTCACACACTCGTACTCGCACACTTGCACACGCGCACACTCACACGCTCACACAGTCACACACCCTCACACTCTCACACTCCCACACCGCACTTTCCTCCTTCCACCTGCTGCCTGCTTATGTGTGTTGCATCACCCACTGTGTTGCCCCATATAGAGTATCGGTTTCGCTTCTGCCTTGCACCTGCTCCACTCTCCCACACAACCCCTTCATCGTCCTCCCCCCTTTCCACCCGAACCTCCCTCTTCCCCCTTGCTTGCTCCCTGCGTGCGGTGCGGTGCGGTATGGCAGATGGAGGATCATTTTGAGGCGGGCAAGCTGGTGTTTGACAAGCTCAGCTTCCTGCTGCGCCGCTCCGAGCTCTACGATCACGCCACCGAGCCCTTCGTACGTCCCCTCTGCCATGCCCTCCACCACCACACCCTACCACACCCTACCACACCCCGGGCACACCCACACTCGTCACACTTGACAAGCAGTTGGATCGTTTCCAGAGAATCCAGATAACAAGAAGTGCTCAAGTGTGAGCCCGCAGTCTGTGCCGTGTCTTACAACCGAAACGCCAGCATCCTACTCTCACCCCCCAACCCCCCTCCGCTGCTTGCCCCTTCCCTGTTACCCACACCGCGTCCCGCCCCTACACCCCGCTCTCCCGCCCCCTCCCTTCTCCTTCCCTCTCGTTGCTACGTGTGAGGCAGATCGAGGCGATGCTGACAACGCTGGGGTGGCACAACCTCTTTGAGTGCGAGCTGGCGCACTCACCACCCGCCCCCCTCCCCGTCTTCACAACCAATCTCCCCTTGCTCCTCCCATTTCCCTGTTGTCTTTCTTCCTCCCCCGGTTTCGCCGGTGGCACTGGTGATGCGGATATGCGAGGCAGATAGAGGCGATGCTGTCGACGCTGGGGTGGCACAACTTCTTTGAGTGCGAGCTGGCGCACTCGCCCGAGGACCTGACGCAGTTTGACGCCATCATGCAGCGCGCACACAACAAGGACCCCCACATCACAATCCCCCCGCTGCCTCCCACCGACTTCCTCACCGTCGACATCTACCAGGCGCTGCCAGGTGTGTGCTGCCAGGTGCTGCCAGCATTGCCAGGTGTGTGCTGCCAGGTGCTGCCAGCATTGCCAGGTGTGTGCTGCCAGGTGCTGCCAGCATTGCCAGGTGTGTGCTGCCAGGTGCTGCCAGCATTGCCAGGTGTGTGCTGCCAGGTGCTGCCAGCATTGCCAGGTGTGTGCTGTCATATAGGTAGGTCCCGCCATCACGCTCCCCACTCTGCCCATGCTCCCCACGCTGCCCACGCTTCCCCCCTGCTTCCCACCAAGTTTCTCACAGTCGACATCTACCAGGCGCTGCCAGGTGTGTCCTGTCATATCGGTAGGTGCTCCCATGCTGCTAGGTGCTCCCCCCCTGCCATCACGCTCCCCCCCCTGCCTCCCTCCAAGTTCCTCACTGTTGACATCTACCAGGTGCTGTTGGTGCTGCCAGGTGCTGTTGGCGCTGCCAGGTGCTGTTGGCGCTGCCAGGTGCTGTTGGCGCTGCCAGGTGCTGTTGGCGCTGCCAGGTGCTGTTGGCGCTGCCAGGTGCTGCCACCGCTGCCAGCCAGGCGCGCGCTGCCATCTAGGTGCTGCCTCCGTGCCAGGTGCTGCAAGCTCCCACCTCTGCTAGGTGCTGCCACTTCCTGCCAGGTGCTGCTAGGTGCTGTCAGGTGGTGTCAGGTGCTGCCAGGTGCTGCCAGGTGCTGCCAGGTGCTGGCTGCTGCGACTCAATGAGCCCAACCAGAAAGGTTCAGCTCTGGTAATGAGCTGAAATATGAGGCAGCAGTTAAAGCCACTCGAAGGTGCAATCAGCAAGTGCCGTGCCATGAGCTGACCCGCCCAACTCAATGTGTCCAGTTCATGCATTCTCGAAACCGCAGCTCAACCCTTCCCTTTCCCTCACCTCACGTCCCCCTCCCCATGAGCCCCTCGTCCCGCCTGCCCAACCGCAGCGGCGAAGCGGGGAGCAGTGGGGCGGTACGTGTACCAGCGCTTCCCCAACAACGAGAAGGCCGGCGGCGAGCAGGAGGCCAGAAGGTGCGTGCGCACGTGTGTGTGCATGTGTGTGGGTGCTCAATGTGTGTGTGAGTGTGTGTGTGCGTGCGCGGGAAGGGGAGGGGAGGTATCAAGCTGCTCTGCTGTTACCCTGCTGTGCCCTCTGTGTCCGCTGGATTGGTGTGGAGTGTTGGCCCAGGCATGAAATTACAGTAGCAGCACGTTTTGGGCCACCTTTACCACCTTTACCACCCCTCCACCCCCCTGTGTGTGTGCATTGTTCCCCTCCCACACACTCCTCCCCCACAATCCCCTCTCCTGTGCACGCGGGGGGCAGTCTGGCGGTGGAGAAGGCCATGAGGGCGTGGCTCAAGGAGCGGCGTCTGGGGCGCACGCGCAGCTCCAAGGAGCGAGGGGTGCGTGGAGTGTCTGTGTGTGTGTGTGTGTGTGTGTGTGTGTGTGTGTGTGTGTGTGTGTGTGTGTGTGTGTGTGTGTGTGTGTGCCGGGGGGGTTTGTGGGGGTGTGTGGTGGGCGTGGGCGGGGTGTGGTTGAGTGCGTGCATGTGCAGATGTGTGCGTCTGTTTGTTGTGTGTGTGAGTGAGGATGGGATGCGATTAGGCCATGGCTGAAGGAGATAGGGCTGGGTGCGGGAAGTGGGGATGGGTAGGGAGTGAGATAGGCAAGGGGAAAGGGAGAGTGGAGTGTGGGGGGGTGGAAGAGTGAGAATTCAGGTTGATAAGCTTGAGCAGCTGCCTCTGCTTCTATACAACCCCCACTCTCCCCTTCCGCCCCCCTCCCCCTCTCGTCCGTGCTTCCCTTAGTTCTTACCACAGCGCCTGAGACTTGTGTTCTTCTCGTGTCCCTCCCTTTCTCATCATCCAACTCCCCCGCTTTCTCGTGTGTTATGTGCAACGTGAGCAGGCACAAAGGGAGATGATGAAGGTGGACACACAAGTGCGCCTCTGTGTGAGTGCTCCCTGCTCCCCCCCCCTCTCACCGCGCCCCTGCCTATTCTTGTGAACCACCTTCCTCTCACCTCATGTAGTCACATTTGTTGTCTAGTCCGTGCATTTCAGTGTTCACCTGTGTGCCTGTGTATGTGCATGCATGTTTCATGTGGATGTGTGCATGTTTGCCTCTGTGCTTGCTCATGTGCATCCATGTTCATACGCATGTGCATGTGTTGATGTGCGTGCATGCACATGTGCAGCAACTATGGGACCAACTACGAGGGCTTCCTCCCGGCGAGCACCCCATGGGCTCAGAGCATTACGGCACTATCTACGGTATCAACCCTACCCCACCGCACCCCACCCCAGCCCAACCCTCAACTCCTCCCCCACAACTTCGCTTTCCGCTTACCCCCCCCCTCCTTGCTCCCCCCATCTTCCCCTGGATCCTGACCTCTCAATCCTCACCGTTCAATGCGTCACCCATGCTGTCCTATGCGGTGCGGTGCGGTGCTGCATGCAGGAATGATAGAGTCGGACCCCGAGGGCTTTGGGGGCTCCAGCTTCCTCGCGTGCCTGGAGGAGAACATCACCATCGTATGCCACTACCCCACCCCTCCCCTCGCCTCCCCTCCTGCTCTTCACCCACCAACCACCGTCTGCCTATCTCCCTTCCTTAATGCCTACCTTTCTGCCTCCATCGCACCCCGCTGTGCCGTTCACATCCGTCCCAATCTCTTACTCACACCCCCCACCCAATCTCCCCTCCCCTCGCTCGCTCTGCCTGCCTGCCTGCATGCCTGTCTGCGTGTCTGTCTGCCTGTCTGCCTGCCTGTGTGGGTGCATGCAGGGGTGGTCGGGCGAGCTCACTCGAGAGATGTTCATGGCGTGTCGTGAGCTGGTGAGCGCCTGGGAGGGGGTGGGTGAGGAGCTGGGGCGAGGGGTGCAGAGGGGCTCAAGCATGGGGATGGTGATGATGGTGAGAGGCTGGGGAGAGGGTTGGTGTGCCACATGGCTGGGGTCAAGGGCATGATTGGTTGACCTGAATCAGTCCCATTCCATGTTTTCTAGCTCCCACTGTCTCTTTTTTCCCCATTTTCTCCAATCTCCCTCTTCGCTCCTCTGTTGCCATCTTTTCCCCTCTCTTCGCCCCTTTCCTTTCCCTCATCAGATGCTGGTGGCAGCGGCGAGGGCGGGGGAGAGGAGGGACTACCAGGTGGCGGGGGGGCTGTTGGAGATAGCGGGGCGCATCTACTTCCGGGACGAGTTCGGCATGCTCGACTTCATGCGCCGCTACCTCGGCTCCCTGCACGTCTGGCACTCGCAGGCGTGAGTCAATGGCAGGCATGACTTTCTCGCATGGGCAAAGCTGCAAAGTTGCAAAGCTGCTTGTAGAACACTCACACGCAGAAGCGCCTGGCACTCCTTCAATTTCTCCAACCGTGCCCTGCCGTGTTCCCCTCCCCCCCTCTCCTGGTGCTCCTCGCTCCCCCTCATGTTGTCTCTGCAGCCTATGGGACGAGCTCTTTGAGCAGCGCATGCAGGAGCTTGGAGAAGAGTAAGCCATTTCCCCTCTCTCGCCCTTATCTCTCATCTGCACTGCCTCTTCTACGCTCTTCTTGCGATTTCGTTCAAACTTTGCAACGTCTCTGTCTGTCGTGCTGCCCTCCATGGCATCATCCTCTGGTCTGCCCACTGCATCGTTTTCCCCCACCACACCACACACATGCCCCACCCCTCACCCTCACAGCTTTCCCACCTTTGCTCCAACCCCTTCTTGCCTCCTCGACTCCTCACCTACTCACCTGCTCATCTTCCCCCTTCCCCCCTTCCCCTTTTCTCCTTCCCCCTCTACCCTCTCCCATTGCCCCCATCCCCCTGGTCTCTAACAGTTCCTTTGGCAACTATTCACAGATGGTCATGCTCACACTCAAAGCCTGCGCCTTCCACATGGTACCCGCCCCGCCCCACCTCCCTTCCCCCACGCACCACCTCCCGTCTCCTCCCGCCCCACCTCTCATTTCTGTCCATCCCACTTTCCCCCACCCATTCCTCCACCCCCCAGTCTCTCTGTGGTTCTTCTCTTGCTCTGCTTCTCCGCAACCACAAAGTCCATGCCATACCTACTCTGCAGAATCTCGCCCCCCATGGGTCGCTACCTGTGCTCAGCTTGTCACAACATCGCATGCTGCCTCCATATGCCCCTCCTCCCCTCCCCTCCATCCCTCAGTCCGTCCATCTGTCCGTTCTCTCCCCTTCTGTTTCTCTCCCCTCCCCCCTCATGGCAGGTGGAGTTGGGCATAGCGGACAAGGAGACGTGGAAGATGCTGCTGCACCTGTGCGCCCTCTGTTCCTCCCTCCCTCCGTCCATTCACTCCTCTCCTCTCCCTCCCCGCAACCCCCCACCCCTCATGGCAGGTGGAGCTGGGAATAGCGGACAAGGAGACGTGGAAGATGCTGCTGCACCTCGCCAGCGAGCACGGCCTGCGGGAGAAGCGCCAGGTGCCCTGCTGCTGGAGGGAGGGGAGAGGGCGAAGGGACGGTACCCCGTGCTGCATGGGGTGGCGCTGGGGAGGGGGTTCTGGATTAGTGAATGGCTTGATGGGTGAATGATGGATGGGTGGAGTTTTTATTGATTGCAGGGAGCAGCTGTCAATGCGTAGTGATGGGTGCGCAGCACAACACTCACACATTCCCCCTGAATTCCATTCCCCCCCTCGTTCCGCTTCTATCAGCCCGTCACACCACCAACCAGCACCATACTCGCCCAAACACCCCCCCTACGCTCCCCTTCTCCCGCCTTCTCCTCACCACAGAACCTCCTGCGAAGCCATCTGTCCCTGATCCAGCTCAAGTTCCGCTTCTGCGGCCCGCCACACCACCAACCAGCATACTCTCACACACATTCCCCCTACCCTCTCCCTATTCCGCCCTCTCCCCTCTCACCACCCCCACCCCACTCCAGAACCTGCTGCGCGGCCAGCTGTCCCTGATCCAGCTCAAGTTCCGCTTCTATGGCCCGCCACGCCTGGCGCTCATGATGGCGCTGGCGCCGCGCATCGCCCCCAAGATGGAGCAGGCCGCGCGCCTCAAAAGCGCCTCCATTGCTGGGGGGGGCGGGGCAGGGGCGGACGGTATGGCACGTGTGGACAGTAATAACACTCTGGAGGGGGAAGGGGGGGGTGCGGTGCAGCATAAGGGTCTGTCACGGAGTAAGAGCAAGGCGGGGCGGCGGGGGGTGAACTTTGATGTGGGGGGGAAGGGTGCGGCGACCACGACGCCCAAGGGCGGGGGAGGGGGGATGACGAGCCCGCGAGGCAAGGGCAAGGCGGATGGGCTTGACCGCCGCACAGACCGCCTCGTCAGAGCAGGTGCGTGCAGTGCAGGCTGCTTGCATCACTCGTGCCGTGGCATGTGATAAAAGTGCTGTTTTGAGACGTCTCAAAACGAGCCCGCGAGGCAAGGGCAAGGCGGATGGGCTTGACCGCCGGACAGACCGCCTCGTGAGAGCAGGTGCGTGCAGTGCAGGCTGCTTGCATCACTCGTGCCGTGGCATGTGATAAAAGTGCTGTTTTGAGACGTCTCAAAACGAGCCCGAGAGGCAAGGGCAAGGCGGATGGGCTTGACCGCCGGGCAGACCGCCTCGTCAGAGCAGGTGCGTGCAGTGCAGGCTGCTTGCATCACTCGTGCCGTGGCATGTGATAAAAGTGTTGTTTTGAGACGTCTCAAAACGAGCCCGCGAGGCAAGGGCAAGGCGGATGGGCTTGACCGCCGGACAGACCGCCTCGTGAGAGCAGGTGCGTGCAGTGCAGGCTGCTTGCATCACTCGTGCCGTGGCATGTGATAAAAGTGCTGTTTTGAGACGTCTCAAAACGAGCCCGAGAGGCAAGGGCAAGGCGGATGGGCTTGACCGCCGGGCAGACCGCCTCGTTCAAGCAGGTGCGTGCAGTGCAGGCTGCTTGCATTATCTGCAAAACTTGTGCTGTGGCATCTCTGTTCTTGTCCTCATTCAACAGCAGCGTGGTCAGCACCATTGGTGTTAGCACGTGTCAGCGCCATCGCTGTCAGCACCGTCACATCACAATCACACCTACCCAGATCAGCCCTCTCAACGCCTCTCCCAATCCCCTCACCATCCCCTCAAAGCCTCCCACCCTCCCACATTCCGCCATCCTTGCCACTACTCCCATCCTCCCTCCCTCCCTACCCTCCACCCCCGTGCGCCTGCCCCTCAGAGCCGGTGCACCATCAGGCGAGGAAGGAGGGCGAGGCGGGCGTGAGGGTGCTGAGGGGGCACAGTGCAGCGGTGACAGCGCTGCACGTGGGGTCCGTGAGCGACCTGGGCGACCTGCTCTCCGGCTGTGATGACGCCGGCTACTTCGTCTCCGGCTCCGCTGACCGCACTGTGAGTCCCTGATTGCGCTCATTGCAGTCCACTGTCTCACCATCCTCCACTCTATCCTCCACTCTATCCTCCACTCTATCTACCCTTCTCCTCTGCCGTTCTCCCATTTCCTCTGCCCTGCCCAATCCCACTGTCTCCCCCGTGTCCACATGTGTGTGGGGATGGCAGGTGAAGCTGTGGAGTGCGAACCGTGTGGGCGCAGAGATGCGTGCCACCATGCGAGGTCACAAGGGGTGCGTGCCGGGGGCTGATGGGGAGGAGAGTGCATGGGGAGTGGGTGGGGTGCATGGGAGGCTGTGCGTGAGGGAGGGGGCGGGGGCATGAAGGGAGAGGGTGTGGAGTGAATTCGGGGGACTGGGGCGATCAAGTAGAGAGTGCACTCAGTGGTGGTGCCTACCCTGCCCTTTCAGCCTCACACTCACGCACCGCCACATCAGATCTCCCGCCCATTCATTCCTGCGGCCTCATTCCCGCTCTCCCTGCCACCACACGCTGTCTCACCCCGTGCTCCAACTCCTCACTTCCCCTCTTCCGCTCTTCTCCCCTTTCCTCCATTTATCCCCCCAGCACGGTGCGCGCCATCTCGTCAAATGCGAGCAGCATCCTGTCAGGTGGAGACGACTGCAAGGTGCTGCATTTCGACAAGCGCACCTCGCTGCCCCTCGCCACCCTCGACGCCCACACTGCCCCTGTAAGCGCCTGTTCTGATTTCTGGCGCACCTCAAAAGTAGAGATTCTCACCGCCCCAGTGTGTGTGTGTCCGTGTTGGAAATCCGCCCCCGTGAGTGAAAGCGTGGTGTGCTTTTCCCCCTGCTCCCCATCCCACTTTTCCACCTCCCCCCCTCCCCAGGTCTCCTGTGTGCGCTTCCCGTCGAGGCCCACTGTCACCCCTGTGTGCAGCAGTGACAGCGGGCCTAGACGGCCTAGTGGAGGTGTGGGACATGCTTCTCATGCCTCTCACCCGCTCTCTCCCCCCCCTTTTTTCCATCCCACTCTCCCCCCTCCCCGCTTCCTCCTGCCTGTCCACCCACAGATCTCCTGTGTGCGATTCCTCTCCGGCTTCGCGCGCAGTGCAGCAGTGACAGCAGGGCTGGACGGGCTGGTGGAGGTGTGGGACATGCGCTCGCACCGCCGCGCTCTCACCGCGGCGCAGCCCGCACAGGGTGCTGCCGTGCTGTGCCTCAGCTGGCACGAGGACGCGGGAGGGCTCATTGCCACAGGGCACACTGACGGGTACGTGCTGTGACTCGTACCAAAGCTCGTTATGGCCAACCCGCACATGATGCTGTGGCGCTTTGCTCCAGTTATCACGAGGACGAGGGGGGCTTATTGCCACAGGGCATTCCGTCGTGTACATGTATGTGTATGTGTGGCTAGGTTGGGCATGACGGTTGTCTTGAGTCGACTCTAAACACAGCCTGCACGGGGCGCTGCAGTGCTGTGCCTCAGCTGGCACGAGGATGGGGGGTCCTTGTTGCTGGGGGGTACTGCATGTGTTGCTGGGGGGTACTGCATGTGCTACTGCTGTGTGGTTCTTAGCAGAGACCTCTCCATGCCTTGTTCCGACTCATCCCCTTCCTCCTCTTGTTGCTCCTCTCCTCACTCCTCTCCTCACTCCTCTCCTCACTCCTCTCCTCACTCCTCTCCTCACTCCTCTCCTCACTCCTCTCCTCACTCCTCTCCTCGCTCCTCTCCTCGCTCCTCTCCTCACTCCTCTCCTCACGCTTCGCCTTGTCGCCCTCCTCGCCTCGCCCCTTGCTCCTGAGCTGCACCTCCCTGGTGCTCAACCCCGCTTGCCCACTTTCAGCCCTACCCCCACCTCTCATCTTCTCCTTCCACGCATTCATCAGTCGTCGCTCCACTCACCTTCTCCCCTCTCGCCTCCTCTCGCCCCGTCTTTCCACCATGTCCTCTGTGCATGCGGCAGCACGGCGCGGGTGTGGGACATGAGGGCGGGCAGGGAGATGCACTTCCTCGAGGCACACAGCAACTGGGTCAGGTGCGCCCTCCCTCAACCAGCCCTGTAGCCGGCATACCATGTGATCTGCCCTGACTCTGCTCCATGCACCCGCTTTGCCTTCATTGGCTTTCACCTCTCATTGCCTTCGTTCGCTTGCCTGCTCTTGCCCTTGTGTGATCTCCCCCGTTCTCCCGCACCGGCATGGCCACGTGGCAGCTGTGTGTTGGTCAACAAGGACATCATCATCACGGGCAGCCACGATTGGACGGCCAAGATCTGGTCCGTGGAGACGGGCGACTGTGAGAAGATCCTGACCGCACACGGCGGGGCAGTGAGCACCATGGACTACTGCACATCATCGCACCGCCTTGCCACCGGGTCGGCAGACGGCATGGTCCGCATCTGGAAGAAGGAGGACGGTGAGTGAGTGTGTGCTACGCCGTGTTTTGAGACGTCTCAAAGCACGCTACGCCTTGGATTCAAGGAGAGCGACTCAGTGGCGTCTTCCGTGCTAACAGTCCCAACAAGGCAGATAGGTCAGTTATCATTGGCGCGCTGCCACTTGGATTTGGGCCGGTTGTGTCGCGGCCCAAGTCGGAGATCCTGCAAGAAGCCATACCGGCACAGCGCATGATTCTCATTCCCCTCCCTTGCTCCGCCACCCTCTTCACACCCCACGCCACCAACAGACCAGTACATTCCGCAGGAGACGAGTGGGTCATCGTCATTGGAGGCGGTGGTGGCATACTCAATTCCCATCTCCCACTCTCCCATTACCCACACTGACCTCCCTCCTCGTCTCCTTCCCCCGGTCCCCCCCGCAACAGACCAGTACATACCGCAGGAGACGAGTGGGTCGTCGTCATCAGAAGCAGTGGTGGCGGTGCGGCTGATGGACGAGGTGACAGGCGTGGCCACCGCCAGCAACCAGCTCATGTTCCTCGAATTCACCGACGCTGATGGCCGCGTTGGTGGCACCGGCAGCGGCGGCGGTGACCCGTCCACGTGGGCCGTCAGCAAGATGGTTGCCAACATGCCCGATGTGGTGAGCCAAGATGCTCCTCCCTTCTACAATTCTCTGTTGCGATTTATCACTCGTACACTCACCCCTGCTCATGCCAAATTTTCTGTCACTGCCACACAGCCTGTGCCCACCACTCCCTCCAACTCCCTTGCCATTTCCCTTGATTCTCTTACCTGTCCTTCTCCCCACCTGCCTCCCCACTTTCTCCCCCCACCCTCCCCTCCTGCCTTTCTTTCCAAAGGTGCGGCACGTGGCAGTGGATCTGGACTATGGCCGCGTGCGCAGCGGCTCCCACACCCACCCATGCCCCCCCCCTTCTCCCCCCTCCCCTGCCTTTCCCCCAAAAGGTGCGACACGTGGCAGTGGATCTGGACTATGGCCGCATGTGCAGCGGCTCCCACACGGGCGCCATCCGCATTTGGGATGCATTCCCCGAGGCCGCAGGGGCGGCAGCGGCGGCTGTAGCAGCAGGGCTGGGCGGCGTGCCGGCTGCAGCAGCGCCCAGCAAGTATGACCTCACTGGCGTGTGGGACAGCTTGGATTCCTCTGCAGCGCCGGCGTGAGTGGCGGCGCTGCATCGGCAATTGAAGCGGACGAGGGAAGACGGTGGTGGGAGATGGCAGGCAGAATTTTGAGAAGGTGGTGGTGGGGGAATTTTGCGAAGTTCCTAGTTTAGCATGTAGAAGCAAAGAGCTTCTTGTCCAGTGAAAATATCACTCATTGCTGTTACCAAATCGATGGTGGTGGTGGTGATGTTGAATCACTAGCCTAGCCTAGCCAGTTTCATATCAGCCACTGTTTTCCATGTAGTTGCGCTTTGATACGGTGTTCAGTACTCGAGATGGATACTATCGATATCGGGGCGCCCATACCGCAAATTGGTCAAACAGAGTCGTGCGGTGCGCATCCAACTAGCTCGGCCAGTAAAATGGCTTCAAATCGCATTGCTGGCCCAAACCTTGTCCCGTCAGCATGAATTGCCAGAAGGGCGGCGTCATGTGATGAATAGTGGACATTCAAAGCGGTCCGGCCAGATGCGGTGCGTGCGAGCAGTGGGCGATGTTGCGGGTAAACGTACCGAATCTGATGTGGCAAGGCATGAGGAGGGGTCGTTTGACAGGCTGCTGTCGAATGTGATCGGAGCAGTTGAAGTGGCGCGCTTGCTGCTCCCCTCTTGCCTCCTCAAGGAGGGGATAGGGGGGATGTGAAACGCTTTTTGCTTCACAAAGCATCACCACCAAGGAATACGCACACATAGCTGCTGTTCATTCTGGTAGGACGTCAAGCTTGCTCTTTGTTTACGATGGCGGGACGCATGGAGGCTCTTGGTTTTAAGATATGGCACGCGCTTACTTTTCTTGACAGCCCATCTTGGCGCGTGTTTATTCTCGAATTCCTGGTTTATATCCCAGCGTCGTAGCTCTATGCCTTTCAGCAGAGGCTTGCGTCTACATACTGCGATACTCGAGATTTCCAACCTTGCAAACGATCGTCGCCTCGGCGAAAACCGCAGCCTCGCCATGGCTACCGTAGGACTCATTCAGAAAGGAAAGGTCCCTTCCGACGCTTTAGTTAACCTAGAAGGCGACAATCGCACTCAGTGCGATGCGTCTCATAAACCGTCGAATTTCACAGTTCCCCGCGTTCGCAGCCGCGTTGAGGACGTCGAGGTGCACGCGCTTGAGTGTCGCTTAGAGCTTCTCAACACGCAACGCGAGCTCACCGCCATGCGATGCCAGCAGTTCATACGCTCGCTGCGCGACTCGTTCGAGGAGGCTGCTGCGGCCAACGCGCAAACCTCATCCGCCGATGTTTCTGCTTTCAACTGCAGCGCAACCGTCACGGAGAGGAGATGGGGCGTCGCCGAGCGTCCATCCCCGCGCGTCGATAATTGCTCCAAGAACGCGTTGAACGGCGCTTCGTGCTCCGCGATGGAGAGTAATTGGGAATCAGATAGCACCTGCTCATCGACTGAGGGCAATTCAGACGACGAGTTCGAGCGCGCCAATCGACGAGCCTTGGCGTCGCTCTCGTCCTCGCGAAGTCTCCACTCCGGTGCCACGTCATCATCTTCGTCCTTCCCCGTCAGAAACCATAGCGTCCGATTCGCGTTCGCTAAGCCGCTCTGCGAGTCGTTAGACTGCCGCGGTGAGAGCGGGCACTGCATTGTAACCCCGTCAGTGCGAAGCCGGTCGGCCCGGTGGATGGAAAGTGCTGCAATGCCAGGGGAAAATCGTCCTGATGGCGGTTTGGAGTCTGAAACTGCCTCACCTGGCGTTGCTGTTGGGCGCTGCCAGTCCGCGCGATGGGCGGAAGACCTTCGGTTTTACGACAACCCTCTTCCTCGTCGCCGGTGGACTTCGCCAGCATCTTCCCCGTGCGAATTATCTCACACACATCGCACGCTTCGCTCATGTAACACGTCGCCCAGCCCCCATCTCGATAAGTTCAATGTACCTCGGCCTCGAATTTCAAGCAAGAGATTACACCAACGTACAAGCTTTCAGTTCCCTAGCGGTGTCAATTTGGGTTTTCATAAGCCGCTTTTTCCAGATACTACGATTATTCAATTTAGTATGATCTGTCCTACAGAGTTGCGTCCTGATGTGAAAGGCAGTGTCATTAACCATCAGAAGCAATGCGTTCTTCCCTTATCATAGTTTCCACTCTTGTAGTTCCAACGTGTTCCCCATGCATTCTTCTACTCGTTACATATCTGCATAGTTTAAAACTACATTCTGGAATTTGTTTAGCGGGCTTGACTTCAGCAGATTTCATGCTGAGACTCCTGTTTTCTGGTAAACACGCAAACACACATGAGCTGTCACCTCACGCTGCGCAAAATCGAAATCACTGCCGAAACTCGACGAGCGCGGCAAAAGAAGCTGAGACTCATGTTTTTCTGGTTATGAAACACAGAGCAGAAGAGTAAGACTCTGTCTTTTGGTTCAGAAAACGCAGAGAACGCACAAGGGTCGTTGAAACTCCTGCTCGATGTTTTTTGCAGGGTTCCGCGAGAACCGCTTACCAGACGCACAGATTCGTCCATTGGTGACGCTTGTAACACAGTTGCGGCATAATCGGGGCGCAGCATGGAAACATGATGACAGGCATAGCTACCGCGTAAGCCGATGTGCGCACAACCTCACGCAACCTCGCGCAACCTCGAGGTAGGCTTCGGTGACGCTCGCGTCAGGGTGATGTAAGCCCCCCTTGCTCATCGCCTACCTCGCACATGTCTGCCGGTCGCCCCCCATTCCCAAGGCTGTCGTCGCATCTTGGAAGGATTGACCACGACGAACGAGCATCGGCGCCTATCGCGGGCTGTGACAAGCGTACAGTTGTTTCTAGACGCGGCGAATTTGTAGATTTTAGAAGCTCAATCCTTTCTTGCCGAGTCAGGCCATGTCAGGTCAGAGTCATCCAGACAATCCAGGTGATTCCGTCGAAGTGCTGGTGGTGCTGACTGGTTCAGAACGAAGAATGCCATAGTGTGTTGGAGCATAAACTGCAGGTCGCCTCAAGCGTCTACGGGGAACAGATGTAAGAAGCTGCGAGAGATTCGGCGGCTCCTAACAAGGGGATTCTGGCAATGGTGAGGTGACATGTGACCTTGTTAGCTCTTCACGTGCTGCAAGTTAGCTTGAGGGTAGGAGGGGGTGGGGGCAAGGGGAGGGGAGGGAGGGGGAGCATGACTTACGAGATCGCAATCGAGTGCGCCTACGAGCTCCTTGCCTGGTTGGGTTGGTTCCTCCACTGGCACCTTGGGGCTGGGAGGAATTTGTGGGTGGAAAATCTCGTGAACTTCCGTGGCGGACGTTCAGTGGTTGCTTGATTCGAGAATTTTACGAATTCTGTGTTTGAACCCGGAAGTCGGAAGTAGCTGTGCACATGATTAAGTTTGCCCAGGTTTGCCAAAAATTGTTGAGCCTACGTTTCCATTGTGAGGGAGATTTTAGAACAGTAACTATCTATACCCTTTTAAGTGTTACGGGCTGCAGTGAAACAAGCGTTTTGCATCCTTTGATATTTCTTTTGACTTTTAGCAGCCTCACATTCATGCTATGATTAGTGTCGTTCGTCTTCCTCTTTCCCGCCAAATGGTGACCAATACAAACACTTCGCGCTCGTTTATTGTTGAGAGCATTTAAAGTCGAACCACACTACTAAACGTGCATAAATGTAAACACAGCTGGCGGCATGAATGCGATCGTCTCCTCTAACGGGATCGTGAACCTGGCGCACTTCATGATTCGTGAATCCCAACAGAAACAACGCCCATGGTGCATGTGTGGGAGAGCCAAGCCCAAGGGCAATCAAACCAGTCGAAGCATCCGGCCTGATGAGACAAAATGTCGCCGAGTCAGCACAGTTTTGAGAAATCAGAAGCAAGGAGAAACAGAAGCCTGACTGGAAGAAGCTGACTTGGAGCAGATTGACCGCAGAATGCAAGCCACACAATGCCCCGCTGGTGCCAACGCAATCCCATCCACCTTGCTGCCCCCTGTTTCGCGCGTCTCCTCGCCTTCCAACAGAAGCCCCTCCCCTCGTGCCTCGCGCCTTGGATTGGCTGCCCCGTCGCGCCACGCCCTCTAGGTTCTTGCCCCTTCATATTCTAGATAAGACACACAACCTTCGTTATCCATTCAGCAGAACTACAAAGAGCATTCCACTCCAAAGCCCTCACAAACACCACTTTCTAGTCCATCAACGTATTAACGTGAATCAAGACTTCCTCTGAACCTTGTCAAACCAACAATGGCGTCCTCTGCTACTCTCCTCTCCACAACCCACGACCTTAGCTGCCGGGCCGCCTCCCGAGTGATCCGGAGCACGCTGGAAGACGTCGAGATCCGCGCGCTCGAGAGCAAGCTGCAGCTGCTAGACACGCAGCGCGAGCTCAGCGCGCTTCACTGCCAGTCCTTCATTCAGATGCTCGAGTCCTCGCTCAATAACACCGACGACGACGACGAGACCAGCGACAGCGCGACGCTTTCCCGCTGCTCGTCGCGCCGATCCTTGGACCTGGGCGCATCGCGCCGCAGCACGTGGGAGGAGGACCTTTCCTTCTACAGCTGCGCGTCGTCGTCCGCCCGCTCCGCTCCCTCCGCCCGCCGCCTCCGCTCCACGCGCTCGCATGGGGCCTCCACTCGGCACCACTCCAAGTCGCTCCGCCGCCACTCGAGCCTCAACTGCGAGCTGCTCTGAGCATACATCGGCCATTCTGCTCCATTCACTGACCGGGTGCGCAATCGGCAAGTTCTATGAAGTTCACATCGACTCTTCGAGGCAGCGCTGATCTCAGCCTGCTCTCCTTTTTTTGGCCCGCTGCGGCCGCCTTTTGATGACGTCTGGGCGCTGCCAAGCGGCCGCGTCTGCGCGTCGGTACCTTTACCATGACATCAACAGCCTTCGGCTCGGCGCCGCGTTTTACATCCTCGCGTGAAGTAAGAGCGGGGATGAGATCGATTCACGTGTTTTTTAGCCCTCTCAGCGTCGCGCTGTGCCTTCTTCGACCGTTATTTTATGCGCGACGTGGACATGAGGTGGAAAGCCAAGGAAACCATGGAGGTCTTCGCGAGTTGCGAGACCAGAGCGAAACTACTACGCAGCATCCGTCCAGCAACAGCTTCAGAAGCCAAGCTAGAAGTACTTTTCGCCGAGACTACCAACTACAAGCAGCCCCTGCAGCTGCGTGCCTCTGCCTTCCGTTTTTTGGGGCGTATTCGCCCTTTCTCTGGAAGACAATGGCAACTGCTGCGTCTTTGTACAGCCTCTTTTTCTTCGTACTAATTTTTATGGTGGACATATGTATCCGCCTTTTTATGTGAAGCATCTGATATTGGAATATCAAATTCTGGCTTCCATAATTTCAGAAAAAAAGAAGCAAAATACACACACGCATACACTAGAAGGATCCGGAGCTGAACTGGCTGATCAAGGTCTCATAGTCATAAAGCCCCTGGAAGGAACTGTACATTATTTACACCCCTTGGGGTATGCAGCACCAAGCTCTGTACTAGAGATCTTGGGACATTTCACTCATTGTCGTTCACAGGTCGGGCTGTGGTGTAGTCCTTAGATAAGACTTGCCAGAGGGGAGCTCAACCGTCTGCAGCATGCACAAAGCAACCAACCCACAAACCAGGACATCACCTGAGAAATCCACATGGAAAACTGGAGGGGTGTGAGAGAAATGCATCAGGTGAGAGGTTCATGCTGAATAGAAGGCTCACCTTGAAGCCCTTGGGGAACTTTTCTTTGGCTGCCTCGTTGCTGACTGATGGAGCAACTATGACGTCATCGCCGTGCTTCCAATCCACTGGCGTCGCCACGCTGTACTTGGCCGTCAGCTGCAGGCTGTCTATCACCCGCAAGATCTGACACACGGCCGTTCAGATGGATGGGAGGATGAGCGGGGAAGAAAGGGAATGGGAGGAGAAGATAAAATTGGTTAAGAGAGGAAGGCCGTGAGCGGGGGCTGGGGCAGAAACGAGATGTGACAGACAAACATAGCATGCACAGATACACCATGCCGCATGTGCGTTTTCCGAATTGGGAAGCCATACCGCACGCACCTCATGAAAATTGCGACCAGTGGTTGCGGGGTACAGGATGGAGAGCTTGAGCGTCTTATCCGGGCCCACCACGAACACGGCTCGCGCTGTCAGAGGCAGCCCCGCCGCGTCCTTCGCCACTGCATCCAGCATGCCCAGCTTCACCGCGATGTCGCGACTCGGGTCCGCGATTATCGGATAGGTGACCTGGCGTGGGGAGTGGATGATGATTGAGAGGAAGCGGAACAAGAAAAAAAAAAACTCCGGGCTGGAAATCTTGCTGTTGCCAATCTATCGAGGAGCGTGGATTTCTATGCGTCGAGGATGCGCTTAATGAGGCATGACATACCTTGATGCCTGGAGTGAAGGCCTCTATGTCGCTAATCCACGCGCGGTGCGAGTCAGCGCTGTCGCAGCTCAAAGCTGCCACCTTCACGCCCTTCTTCGCGAAATCCTCTGCGAATTTCGCCACGCTGCCCAGCTCCGTCGTGCACACGGGGGTGAAGTCAGCTGCAAAGAGGCACGCAGCGCGAAATCCGTGCCCACCGCAATTGACGGTCAGAATCATGAAGTCTGACGGTGCAACAATCGCTATTCTTTTCTTGGCCAATTTTTGCCTTATTTTCGAAAAAACGCAACACGCAAGCTGTGCCGCGTACCAGGGTGCGAGAAGAGAATCGCCCAGCTGCCGTCGATGTAGTCGTGCCACTTTATGCGGCCCGCCGTGCTCGTGTCCGCCTCGAAGTCCGGAAAGCGATCGCCCAGCTTCAGCCCCACCGACTTGTCGTGAAGTGCCTTGGCCGCGTCCTCGCTGCAGGGTGGCGTCGTGAGAAGGAACGAGGGGAAAATACGAAAACGGTGACGAGCGCGAGAGAAGAAACGAATGATGAGAGCGCATGAGGAGTATAGAGGGAGAGCCGTTGAGAATTTCCAAAGCGCAAACGTAGGCTGCGTCCTTGCTGCAGCGATAGCTACGAGCGCACGATGCGTATAATTCGACAGCAGCGACAGCCCATACTAGTATTAGCCCCACAATCCGATGAAACAGAATTCTGTCAGAACACACAACCTCAAACTTACCTTCCAGCCATGTTGCAATGCAGTGGCGACTAACGGTAGTAACAGCAGATACCAACGAGCGGCAGATACTAGAGACGTCCTGAAGCACGAGATGGTGCAAAGATTGGGAACGAGGAAATACGATGGGATTATGACGAAGGGACTGCGATGTGTGTGAGGCGAACGGGTCGAGGTTGGGTAACATCGAAAGCGACCACGACGTATCGGACTGCGCTTCAGTTCAACGTATCATACCACTAAGCACCCTGCTATGTATGACTGAGTCTCAAATGCTGACATTTGAAAATCTCTAACCGAATCGGCGACGTTCGTTGCATGTCAGCACAGTAGTCCAAATTCACATAACCTGCGGCAGTGAACCACGTATTGCATTTCTTTTCTCAAGTTCCACTTATGTAAATGGAAAACATTATCCCTACAGCAGTGTACTGCGTCATGTAACATCCTCTTATCGAGTTCTAAAGCTCCCTCTCGACTCCCCAGCTTTTGACCCCGTTTGAATCGCGAGGTTTCCCCAAACCCAGAATGTGAAGGAGCCCAGTTACTCTTCCGTTATTCTTTGAACAGCACTGTTCTCTACAGAATGCGCTCTCGATCTCAAACACCCGACGGAGGCTCTGTCTGTGCTGTAGCCTCTGTCAGAATCTGTCAGACAACGAAGCAGACACACTGACACTCTTGCGGTGTGTGGTGCAGCTCGGTTGCTGGGATTGTTTGTGCGTTTCCTCGGTGAAAGTGGTCGTGAATTTTGCCAAATCGCGGAGCTTGGACACTTCCTCATCCACACAACGCCGATGCAAGGCAATCACAGCTCTTCGATCGCACACGGCTCAGCGATCCACGGGATTGGATATACAACCTATTTTCAACCCCAATTGCACAAATGGGGTATGCACCCTTTCTAAATCTTTGACCGAGGGTCGTGTGGGGCATCATTAAATTTTAGCGAGAGTCTGTTCCAGATCCCCGAAGAGAGTACTGTAGAAGTGGCGCTATGGATTCAGATTCGCATAATGAGTTTAAACTTCGAGCATTAGGCATCATTCATAGCCCCAGTCATCTAAGTGTCAAACTGAAATAGTCGAAAACGTGCAGGGTAGCTTTGAAACGCGAGATTAGTGGGTTGGGTTTCCCCTTGAAAATAGCGGTGGTTAGGTACTGTACTGCGTAACGGCGTCGAGAATCGAGATTCGAGAAACGCTAGAGCCTAGAGGGCATGCATGCCACCAGCAAAGGAGAACTGTTCGTCGTTTCATGCGCAACTGTTGCTAGAGTGTTCTCGTCTCTGGCTGTGCGCGATCCGCGTTGGCACAAGGAGGATCGAGCACATTCCAGTGGTGCATCGACAAGCTGTATTGCCGCCACAAACACATGGGGCATCTGACTCCGTCGCTTCACTGTGCACGTCAGCAAGATACAGAATATGAGCATCCGACTCAAGCTTCAACAGAACAACATCCTTTCAAAAAAAGAACGAATATTTTCGAGTCAAATAGTGATCCTCCTGATTCATGAGTATCACAAGAAAACCTATACAGTCCAGCATTAGCTGATAAATATGGCTGCCCGAAGCTGAGACTTTTAGCAGTCCATCGTCCTTGTACAGAGGAACAAATTCCCAATCCACCCGTCCAAGGGGCTACCTGTCGCGTCAAGCTGGCCAGCGTGCTTGCAAGCATTGATTCCAGAGAATCATGTCATGTGATCCTGACGTGCTTGGGTGCAACAGCAACCGCAACGTGTTAGCGCGTCGATGGGAAGTCGTTGGAGGAATTATGAGCTGCGCGGGCTCCCTTCTCACGCCTCAGAACATGGAGCAGAGCACAAACCATTTCCGCTGCATTCTTGTTCTCGAGCAACAGAACTTTCTCGCGGATCAGTTGAGAAGCACGTTTTTGCAATAAAAATAGCAGCCATTGATATCCGTAGTCGCTCCCTTGTTCCACGTTCAACTGCAATGTGGATAGCTCTGTTTCCGCGATCACTCCCAGTGTAATCTTACATGATCCGGTTCCTTGGTTCGTAGCCTGAAGTTAGAACCAGTCATCTCTTCGTGTGACGGATCTTTTAACTGCTGAGCTAAACCCGCGAACGCGCTTCTTGTCTCCGCCGGACTTCACGAGATTTTTTAGCAGAAGCCGTCTTTTCCGCCAACGGAGCACGCAGATTGACTCTGACCGCTGATTCCACATCCCCCAGCAACAATGGCGTCTGGAGTTCGCGTTTGCGTGGACCATCACAGTTCGTTAGACGACCCTTCCACGCCGCGCCTCTTGGTCGACGACAGCCTGTCGCCGTCGCAGATTATACGGAGGAAGCTAGAAGACGTGGACACGCGCGCGCTCGAGGGCAAGCTTAGACTCCTCGACATGCAGCGACAACTCTCCGCCGTCCGATGCCAGCAATTCGTCGAAATGCTCGAATCCGAGCTCCAAGCCGCCTCCGCCACGTCAGCAGCGCGGTCACCTGCATTATCGCCGTCGTCGACGTTCCCGTCCGCGTCGAGGCCGCATCGAACCCTAACGCGCATCGGCTCGCTCGACCGCGAAGGCCGGTCCCTGTGGGCGCGGAGCCACGCCAGCTGCCAGCCAATCAGAGACTCAGCCTCCGCGCCGGTCCAGAGATGCGGTTCGGTCGACAGATGCGGATCCGTCGAGCGGGAAAGCAGCGGCATGGGATTCGCGAGCTGGAATGACACAGAAACCGGCGGCAGCGGCTCGACGGGTCGACGCTCCCTCGACGTGGGTAATGGCGGCGGGAGCTGGAAAGACGATCTGAATTTCTATCAGGAGCCGCGTTCGCTCAGTCGCAGTCACACCAACCCGCCGTCGCCGGCTAGCCGGTCGCCCAGGAGCCCGCGCTGCAGCAGCCCGCGGCACGCCAGCCACGCCGCAGTGAGGCACAAATCGCTGTTGCGCCACTCGAGCCTGCAGGTTGGGCATGCCGAACCCGCCTTGTGACTCCGCCGAACGCAATTCGGCCATATGTGATTATATGGAACGTGACTCCGCCGAATGTGATCCTGCTAACACTGCGAGGTGCTATAGAAACCCTAAACTCGGCCTGTGGCCGTGATGCTACAGCGATTTTGTGCTTGAAAAGGGGGAGCGGAAGAGATGCAGACAGGCGCAGAGGCGAAGCGCTGACGCTGCTGCTACCTAACCGTTCTGAATACGGCATACCACCCCATTTCTATGGTAGATACTATTTAGCTGATCAAGCTTAGACTTCTTGTAAATGAGACCCATTCGTGGGTCATTCCCTAATATACAATACTTTTACATATCGTTTGGTAATGTACACTACGCTCGCTGCTTGGGACAAATCTTGAATCCAACCATTGTGTAAGAATGCAAAAAAGAATTTGCGCGTTTGTGTGGAGCATCACATCGAACCCACATACGCCACCAAGATACGACAGTCGCTGTCCGTGCTCGTATCACTACATGCAACGCAACGCGTCGCCGTGAGACGAGGGGAGCCGAGCGCGATGACGCGCGCATGTCGCGCTGAGGTCGTGCCGGCCGGTACGCGCACCGAGTGACACTCCGCGGGTAGATCGCGCGGGAATGCATCCGCGCCGCTTCGAGCGTGCTTGTTTCGAGGCGTCTGAAAACGCGTACAAAGGATGACGTGCCGCTGTCAACAGGGGCCGTGGCGGGACGGCCGCCTCAGCGACTCTGACGGCAGCCGCGACGCTTTTGACGGCGCCGGCTACGATGACGCTACGCCGTTCATTTCGCCGTCAGAACATTCGCTCCGTTCCGGGGCGCCCTTCCGCGCGCCCTTGAGATTTGGCGGCGTGCGCCACCTGCGCCTGCTGTTGCTGGCGCTCGTTATCGCCGCGGCGGACCTCCTCTTCCCTGCCTGCTCCTGGCGCAGCTTCCGCCTGCTACGCGCGGGGGGGGGAGACTTTCCGCCCACGGGGAACGGAGATGCCTTAGCCCCGCCCTCGCCGTTGACTCCGTTGAACGAGTCATATGGCCACGTCAGCTGCTCCCTCACTGCCCTCCGGTGAGACCCACTGAGGGAAGAGCCAGTGAGGAGAGAGCCCTTGAATGATGATGGCACGGTGGCACGGTGGCAGGATGGCATAATGACACGATGGTGAGATGGTGTGATGGTGTGATGGCGAGGCGACTCCTTGACATCCCTTCTGGTTCTTCCCCCTCCGTCCTGCTTTCGTGAATGAACCCTTCTCCCTTCTCTTTCGCCCATCTCTTTCCTCCTTTTCTTCCCCCAACTCCCGCCCCATACCCCATGTGACTGCGCGCTCATGCACCCTCCACCACCTCCTCCATCTTGTGGTGCTGTGTGGCTGGGAGCGGTGGAGAGCGGCACCAGACGTCTCAGCAGCATGCTCTCCCTCCCCTCGCCATCCCCACACCTCCCCTTCTTCGCATTGCTCCTTCCTCCCCTCCACCCTACATCCTCCCCACTACTGGTACCACCACCAGCCACAGCACCACTGGCAGCACCACTGGCAGCACCACTGGCAGCATCATCGCCAGCACCAGCGCCAGCACCGGAACGTGCGCCTCCTCCTCCGCTCCCCCCCATTCCTGCTGCCGCCTCCCCTGCTCTGTCTCCCCTTCCTCCACCCCCCCCTGCCCTGACTCCTTCTGCCCCACCCCCATTCCTCTCTCCCATCGCTCCCCACTCCTCAGCATCCCCACTTCCTCCGCCTCTCCCTACCCTCTCTCCCCCGCCACCGCCCCTCGCCGCCTGCCCGCTGTCCCGCCTCTATCTGCCACAAGCCGTGGCAGCCGCAGCAGGGGATGGCGCCAACGCAATAGCAGCAGCAGCACCAGGGGTTAGTGCTAATGCGTCTACCCCAACAGCAACAGCAGCAGCAGTAGCGCCTCCCTTACAGTGGACGCCCCAGGCGCACAAGTACATTCTCATGCACTGCGACAGCGGCCAGGTGACGTGCTTGCCGCTCGCCTGTTGTGCTACCGGCTGCCTGCTGTCCAAACTATTATGAACATCCTCTTCTCATCTCTCCTTCCACTTCCTCCCAGTAAATTGTTCTCTGCCTTACCCCTCTCCTTCCTCACACCGCACAGATCAGCAACTGGGTGCACTGCATTCGCATGCACCTCCTCTTTGCCGGTCTGCTCAGCCGCACGCTCCTTGTCAACGCCCTGCCATCGGAGACCAAGCGAGCCTACAACTACTCTCTCCTCTTCGACATCTCGCATGCACGGCAGTGCTACGGGCCCACCTCTGTACAGACCACTGAGGAATACTATAACGAGTATGGAAAAAAGGTGGAGCTGGATCGAGTGCTGTGCTGGAGGTACGGGTCGATACCCGCTACAGCGCGCGATATGAAGACCTTTGTGCATATACCCGACGATGTGAATATTAAAGGCCACGTTTCGAAATCAGCGTCGGGTACACTCAAGAAGTTTCATACTTTCTTCAATTCGCATACGGGCCATGCTGATGTGATATTACTGGGGGATTTATACAGCTACCCCTCTTTTGAAGGCTTGGAGCACCCCTTGGCTTGGGGCGACCTTCCTTTTCAACGCCTGCCCGGCTGCCTGAGCACACTCGCTGTGCAGCCAGACGCACGGATTGTCCAGGCAGCTGAAGACTTCGTCGATGAGAAATTCGGGCAGAAGCCTTTCTTGAGCCTGCACATGAGGGCGGGGGACCTGCGGGCGAGCTGTGAGCGGCAGCAGCTGGACGTGGGGTGCCGGCTGGGGCCCCACCAGGTGGTGGCGTGCGTCAAGAGGAAGCTCAGAGTGCACCGGCTGATGAGCCTTTTTATTGCAACGAATGCTGGCCACTCGGAGGTATGCTTGAAAGGTGTGCTTGAATTGACACAGACCACACCTGGGGCCTCACCAGGTGGTGGCGTGTGTGAAGATAAAGCTGCGAGTGCACCGCCTCATGCACCTATTCATCGCCACCAATGCTGGCCATTCAGAGGTATGCTTGAGGATTTTGTGCTGCCCACAAGAGCCCTGAGAATCCCCATGAAACTGTTTCCCATCTCTTCTCATCTTGCAACACGTATTCTTCACACTCCCTCGGTAAAGCTGACCCGATCCTTGTGAAACAGTCTGTGAGCACTCATGACAACGCTCCCTTCCACCCATCTTCCCCCCCCTCCCAACCCCCCACGCGGGAATCCACATCACCAGGTGCAGCAGGTGAAGCAGTTGTTTCAAGGCAGAGACCCCGCCCCACCACCTCCCCCAGGAGCACCCATCCTCCCCCCCGGCCTTACCACCCAAGTGGTAACCGGCGTGCACGGTTGGCCGGGGCTGAAGCGGTGGTTCGGGGCACTGGATGAGACACAGTTGAAGCAGGTAGAGGCGGAGGTGGAAAAGGTGGTGGCGGTGCGAGGCACTGTGTTCCAAGGCACATGCACGTCAACGTTCTCCCTGGACGTTGAGAGAATGAGGCTGGCCTTGGGAAGAGGTAGCTGCCATGACTCGTTTGTGTGTGATGAGGAGATCGCGGCGGGGGAGGTGGTGAATGAGTCGGAGAGGAAAGGGTGCCGCACGGAGTTTCTGTTCTGGTAGCCCATTGTGGTGTGTGCTTCTCATTTCTCTTTCTTATGATATATGCCGCTTAGCCGGGCCCCGATCCAGCTACCCAAACGTCTTGTAATGACACCCATGTGTGGGTCACACTCTAATATAGAAATGTTTTGCTTATCGTTTGACAATCTGCACTACGCTCGTTAGTGCTTGAAAAGGATCTTGATTCTTGAGACTTGACCACTGTAAGCGAGCACAAGCACAGCATGCTTCCGTACAGCATCAAATCAAACCATCACTCGTCAAACCGTGGGTGTGGAGAGAATGAGGCTAGCCCTGGGAAGAGGTAGCTGCCATGACTCGTTCGTGTGCGATGAGGAGATCGCGGCGGGGGAGGTGGTGAATGAGTCGGAGAAGAAAGGGTGCCGCACAGAGTTTCTGTTCTGGTAACTCACTGTGGTGTGTGTTGTGTTGCTCACTTGGTGTCTTGAAAACTGATGATGGCCTGGTTTAGTGAGTTGGCTGGGAGGGCAGAGGAACCAGCCTGGAGTTGTGCAATGCAGTGTCATCTTAGAATAGGAATGCAACGGAATGCTCGAAACTAGAAAGTGTGAGAGTACAAATATGCAACCCTAACAACTGTACTCCCTATTGTGCTACTCACTGTAGCCTACAAGCATAGAATTACATTTGACACACCCCCATAGGCTAAGTGAGGGGCATCGAAGCAAGCAAGGTGAACAAACGGTCACAAGACCAGTCAAAGCAAGAAACAAGGCAAGCTCAGGGTGGATCTCAAGGACACCACACAAATTCCGAGCGCAAGCAAGCGGCCACAAGGCCAGTTCAAGAGTTCATTAGGATATATATAGGAAGCACAACAAGCAGAGCAAACAACAAGACTACAGCAACCGAGGGCCTACCTCAACAAGCCCCAACCGAGGTCAGTGCACTTGTGTCTCTTCTGCACTTCGGACTTCACCTGAGTCAGGGCTGCCCTATCTGCGGTAGCAAACACCAAGTCGTCGACGTAGACTAGTATAAAGAAAGGAGTAGAACCCGCTCGAACAAACAGCGACGGGTCGGCGGAGGACGGGCTGAACCCAAGGTCACGAAGCGTGGAGCGAAGAGTGTCGTGCCACTCACGGGGCGACTGGCGGAGACCGTAGACTGGTCGCCTCAGGCTCCACTGGGTCCCAGGTGGGAAGGTGTCAGTGAAGCCAGGAGGACGGCGCAGCCAGATCTCCTCGTGCAGTCGGCCCTGGAGGAACGCAGTGGGGAAGTCGAGGGAGTGCAGCTCGTAGTCTCGCTGCGCTGCTATGTGGAGTAGCACCCGAAGAGTAGTCATCTTCGGGGTCGGGGCGAAGGTCTGGAAGAAGTCAACTCCCTCACGCTGACTGAAGCCCCTAGCCACGTAGCGCGCCTTGAACACCGGCGGTGCTCCAGGCGGCCACTTCACCTTGAAGAGCCACATGCCATCGACTACATTCGCCCTGAGGGGGGGAACTGCGTCGACGTAGGTGCCTGTGGATCTCCAAGACGCCAACTCTGAGTCCATAGCCGCTTTCCACTGAGAGGCCCACGCCCCTGACACTGCCTCGCGGTAAGTGCGAGGAGTCGGTATGTCAAGGGCGTCGGGGTCTCCCTCAGGGGAGAGCAGCATGACACACACAGAGGGAGAAGTGGCTGCCCAGTACTCCAGCTCAGACTCTCTGTCCTCTAGGACGTCACAGCCAAGGGCAAACCCACCCCCGACGGACAGAGGACAGGAGGGAGGAGCTGGCACCACATGGGTGGCGTAGTCAAGGCGGCTGGCGGCAGCAAACTCAGCGACAGTGGCAGTGAGAGCCGAGGCAGATGACGGAGGGAAACGAGAGTCGGTGACAAGAGTGGCGAGGACACGTGCGGCAACAGGACGAACAGCGCGGTAGTAGTCAGAGATAGGAGTGGGGAGGGCAGTGAGAGAGGACGGAGGAGGAGACGGGAGAACGGACACAGGAGAAGGAGAACGACGACGAGACGAACAAAGGAGGGCAGTGTGGAGGTCAGTAACAGGGTACGAGTGACGAGCACGCGGAGGACAACGGGTGATCAAGTCGCGATGGACAGAAGGAGGAGGAGACTGAGGAGGAGGAGAAGACCAGACCGCCGGACGGTCGTCAGGAGGAGGCAACGGAGGAACAAACACAGGAGGAGACTGGGAGCGGACAGGAGGAGAGGAGGAAAGGCCAAGGGCCCGCAGGCCACTCACAGGTGGGAACAACAGCCGCTCCAGAGGAAGCTGCGGAGGCGGCTGCGGCTGCCGCTGCAGCTGCGGCGGCGGCTGCGGCTGCTGCTGCTGCTGCTGCTGCTGCTGCTGCTGCTGCTGCTGCTGCTGCCGCCGCTGCTCCAGAAGGTCCAGCACCTGCAGCTCCTGCCGCTCCCTCTCCAACCGCTCCTGCTCCTCACGCTCACGCCGACGGGCAGCCTGGAGACACGTGTCGTGGCGGTGGGGAGGCGGAGTGGACTCCGCAGAACCAGGGTCTCCAGCTCCAGTCTCCTCAGACTCAGCACCCCCAGAACCAACACCTCCAGTGTCAGGACCCCCAACTCCAGCACCCCCAGAACTAGCACCTCCAGCGCTAGCACCTCCAACTCCAGCACCCCCAGCTCCAGCACCCCCAGAGCTAGCGCCACCTGCACCAGCCCCTCCAGCTCCAGCACCCCGCAAACGAGTACCCCCAGACCGCGCACCACCAGCGGCTGCACCTCCAGCTCCAACACCAACCAAGTCCACAGGAACCTGTCGCGGAAGTGCCGAAGGCTGCTGAGAGGACTGTGAGGAGGAGTGCGGGGAGGGAGACGCTACCTGACGCGCGATCGAGGGTAGAGGGGTAGCGTGGGACACACCAGACGGGGTAGGACCAGGGGGGGGAGGGGGTACCGGAGGAGCAGGAGCAGGAGGAGGAGAAGGTGCCAGGAAAAGAGGGGGAGGGGGTACCGGGAGTCCTCGACAGGGGTACCGGGTGTAGTAGGACACAGACTCGTCAAACCGGACGTCACGGGAGTCTAGAAACTGGTGGAGGGGCGGGTGGTAAAAGGACCAGTCGGCAGAGTCCACTAGGAAACCAAGGAAGACACAGGGGACGGCGCGTGCCGAGAGCTTGTCCGCGGAGGTGTCGCGAACAAGCGCAAGGCAGCCCCAGACTCGAAAGGCCGACCCAACACCAGGGGAACCAGTCCAAAGACTGGTCGGTGAAGCCTCGGGCCGCGAGACACGCGGCTGGAGGTTCAGCTGGTGTGTGGCGTAGCGAACCGCGTGGGGCCACAGAAAATGGGGCGCACGGGCATGGATCATGAACGTGCGGGCAATGCCCATGACCAGGCCTATGCGGCGCTCAGCAACCCCATTCTGCTGTGCGGACTCTGGCAGCGTCCAGGACTGTGTGATGCCCTGTTCGCCGCAGAATCCGCCGAGAATGCCGGAGCGAAACTCGCCCCCACGGTCGGAGTGGAGACAACTGACTCGACGAACACGAGTGCCCTCAGTGGCTAGAAGCCACCTGATCAGCGTAGCAGTCACCTCGGACTTCTTCGCAAGAGGGAACACTGTGGTGTACCTGGAGAAGTCGTCGACGACCACCAGAAAGTAACGCTCCCTCCCAGACCCCTGCGTCGGGGCAGGGCCCCAGACGTCCAAGTGGAGAGTCTTGAAGGGAGCGGTGGCCGGACGAAGGGAGGAGGAGTGGGGAGTGGCGCGTAAGCGACCGGCGACGCACGGAGAGCAAGGAGGGGCAAGCGAGGGAGGGAGCGACGGGAAGGTGCGTGGGAGACCTGTGACAAGTCCCTGACTGAGCATGCCACGAAGGCGAAGGATCGACGGGTGGCCAAGGCGGTGGTGCCACAGGACGGTGCGGTGGGCTAGAGAGCGACAGGAGCAAGACGCAGCGACTAGACTGGACACAGCGACCGGACCGGACACGACTACCTGGCTAGACACCGCAACTGGACTGGGGACCTGGGCCGGAGGGGACGCAACGACCTGAGGGGAGGACACGACTGGGGAGCGCTCGGTGTGGAGAACGTAGAGACCGGAGCGGGGCTCCCTGGTGAACGTGGCCAGAACAGCACCTGTGGTAGCGTCTGTACAGACTGCAGTCCGCCCACCCCCCACGAAGGTAACCGTGATCCCCCTGTCCTGGAGGTATCCAACACCCACCAAGTTCCGAGTGAACGAGGGGATGTGGAGGCCGCGCAGGACACCAGAGGGGACCACAGGGCACGGGAGGGTGGTGGAGCTACGCGCAACGGCTGGTCCAGAGGTAGGATCAGCCAGAGCCACTGACACAGGAGTGAGGAGTGGCGTAAGGGTCGTGTGGTCGCGGAAGAAGCACTGAGACGCGCCCGAGTCCAGCGTGAACGACAGAGAGGCCTCAGCCGGAGGGTCACCTGACCCAGTCGCTACACAAGCACCTAGAGCAGCAACACAAGCACCTAAGCTAGACAGGCACAAGGCTACACTTGCAGGAGGCAAGCAGGCTAAACTACGAACACGCGAGCACACAAATCCCTCAGCACTAAAGTCAGCATCAACATACAAAGCATGCTGACGCGCATCGTCCATGGACAAATCAAAGACATCAATCTTACGGGTTAACAGACGAGACCAGCGAGGCGTGACCACCAGGGGGCCCCAACGAGCCCGGTAGAGGTCGTCGAGGCGGCGGAAGCACCGCGCAGCAGAGTGGTCGTCGCGACCACAGAGACAGGGGCTGCCCGGCCTGGTGAGGCACCAGTGGGTGCAGGGGCCAGCGTCACGGCGAGGGGGGCGAGGGGCCCAGCTGGAAGAGCTGCTGCTGCGGCCGGTGCTCCCAGGGCCTCCCGGACCCCACTGCGGCGGGGGACCCCAGTGCTGCTGCGGACCCCACTGCAGCGGGGGCCCCCACTGCTGGAACTGCTGCGGTGCCTGCTGCTGCTGCTGTCCCTGCTGCTGCTGCTGTCCCTGCTGTGGCTGGTGCTGCTGTGGCTGGTGCTGCTGTGGCTGCTGCTGCTGGGGGGCAGCACCCCCACCGGTCGGGCCACCACCTGTGGGTGGACCTGTCTGTCCTGCGCCTCCTCCAAGGCCCCCTCCACCTGGTGCACCACCGCCGCCGCCTCCACCACCACCGCCGTTCCCACCTCCACCGCCCCCTCCACCGCCACCTCCTCCGCCCCCACCTCCCCCCTTCCCGCCCTTCTTGCCACTCTTGCCCCGTTTCTGCCAGTCTACGGCAGAAATGGCAGCGGTGTCCTCAGAGACCGACACAGCAGCAGAAGCGCGGGTAGCGGTGAAAGTGGGAAGCTGAGGGGCGGCACACCCCGCAAAGAGACGGGGGGCCACCGCATCAGTGGCGGAGGCAACGGTGAGGAGGCTGTTCTCGATGGTCCCGAGAGCAGTCTGAAGGAGGTCTATAGTGAGTTCAGTGGGGTGCTTCTGAAGAAGCGCGTCGCGGGCAGTGGCAAGGCGGTCAGGGAGGCGGGTGACTAACCAGTGCACAGTGAGCCACATGGGGGGGGGAGCAATAAGGAGTTGTGCGTCGGTACAGGCCGAACGAAAACCGGCGTCAAGCGAGCGGATGTGAGTCACTAGGTCGGAAACAGTCGCAAACGAGCCTAGGTCGGGAAACACGAACGGCATGAGGAGGCGACTGAGGGAGGCGGAGGAGGGGGTGGAATAGCGAGCCACAATAGCATCCTAAACCCCCTTGGCTGTCTCCACCTGGTCAAAGTGAGCGGCCTCAGTCGGGGGGAGAAGCTCCGATAGCGTGAGGGCGGCGGCCGCGTCACGAGAGAGCCACACGTCCCGAGCCAGGACCCGACGGTCGTAGTCCGCCTGGGCCGTAGGAGTCGGCTCCGGGGCGGTCGGCAGGGCGGCGGGGGACGGGGGTGCCGCGAGAGCACCCGACGCGTGGGCCCACAGAGTAGCGCCGTCCTGACGCTGGCTGGTGAGGAAACGTGTGGTCTGGCGCTGCCAGGTACCGAACTCGATCGGGCGTCCCTCAGCATCGAAACGGAGGCGACGGGCCTCCATAGCGGAGCCCATGCTAGAGGCGACTGGAGCACGGCGGAAGCGGAGCTAAGAACGAGGAGGAAAACTACGGAGGGCTAGGGACGCCAGCGGGGAAACCGACGAGAGACAGTCGGCGAGAAAATAGTCGTGGGGCGGGGCTCTAACCGAACCTAGGTGGCGCTACCGGAGGGAAGAGCGGCTGCCAGCCGCTGAGCCGGGAGCCAAGTGCAGTAGGAATGGCGTGGGACCGGTGCACAGGTGAAGGGGAGAGAGATGCAGTAAGCGCACAGAGTGATGCGGTAAGTGTACGCAGGAATGCGGTAAGCGCACGCAGGTGTGCGGTAGGTGCACGCAGGTGTGCGGTAAGTGCACGCAGGTGTGCGGAAAGCGCACACAGGTGTGCGGGAAGCGCACACAGAGTGATGCGGTAAGTGCACGCAGGTGTGCGGTAAGCGCACGCAGGTGTGCGGTAGGTGCACGCAGGTGTGTGGTAAGCGCACGCTGGTGTGCGGGAAGCGTTGACGGAGGAGGGCGCGCGACAGGCAGAGGGGAGGGCACGCAACGGTGGGGGAGGGCGCGCGGCGGTCTAAGGAGGGCGCACGACGATTTTGGAGGGCGCGCAACGGTGGGGGAGGGCGCGCGGAGGTCTAAGGAGGGCGCGCAACAGGCTGGACAGCGCGGGAGGGCGCGGGCTAGGCGCGAGGAGGGCGCGGAGGGCGCGGAGAGCGCGGAGGGCGCGGAGGGCGCGAGAGCACGGAGGGCGCGTAGGGCGCGTAGGGCGCGGAGGCTAGCTAAAAACGAACGAGGATCTAACCTACTCGTGATACCATCTTTTAGAATAGGAGTGCAACGGAATGCTCGAAACTAGAAAGTGTGAGAGTACAAATATGCAACCCTAACAACTGTACTCCCTATTGTGCTACTCACTGTAGCCTACAAGCATAGAATTACATTTGACATGTCAATACGCTGCGCGAAGTGCGCGTTAGTAGCTATGCACCATACGCCCCATGTTTCTCTCCATGCCATATTAATAATAGAATCACTCAGGCAACGAGGCATGGTCTGCGGGTGCCTGCCTAGAAGATCCAATCACTCATCATTCTCGAATGCTCTAAAGTGCAAGAGAGGCTCACTTGAGAAGCACAGCAGAGGCCCTGCTGATCCCAGCAGACAAACCAATGCAAGCTTCCCAGGTGCAAGGCAGCGCAGCGAACCAGCTCTTGCAAAAGTGCAGAGCACGCCCATGCTTTCACTGGCGCATCCCACTGCCTCTAGGAGGAGGCAGGGGGGGCGGAGAGACTCTTGGAGACAATCTCGTACACGTTCTCTGACAGCCCCTCCGCTGATAAGATTCGCTCCAGCTCCACCTGATGGCACACAGGCAGTGGGGAGCATGGGAACGAGAGGAGGCTGAGTATGACATGAAGGCACAAGGAAGGCGTGCAGAGGAGGGACACGAGAACATAAGGAACGCTGGCAGATTGAAACAGAATGCATGCAACGACCTGCGCTTCAAGAAGCCTCAACGCACACACCTTAGCGAGGGCCTGGCGCGCCTCGCCGTAGCGGCACCAGCGGGTGAATGAGGAGACCATGCGAGCAGCCACTTGCGCTCTGAGACGCCTCAACACACGCACGTCGTCCAACTCGAAGCACGCACCTTAGATGACATTTGAGACTTCCCAGCGCACGCACCTTAGCGAGAGCCTGCGTGTGATGAGTCGATTTTTGAGTCGACACAAAAATCGACTCATCACACGCGCATGACATTTGAGACTTCCCAGCGCACTCACCTTAGCGAGAGCCTGGCGCGCCTCATCGTAGCGGCGCCAGCGAGTGAAGGCGGACACCATGCGAGCAGCCACCTGCGCGTTGATCTTGTCGAGCTGCAACACCACATCCGCCAGGAAGCGGTACCCACTGCCGTCCGCTGCATGCAGGTTCACCGCACACGAGTTGAAGCCGCCGATGAGAGAGTACACCTGGTGGCATGGAGGAGGGCGGGTGGGCATGGGGGAGAGAGGGAGGGAGATGAATGGGTCCGCCAGGAAGCGGTACCCACTGCCATACACTGCGTGCAGGTTCACCGCGCATGAGTTGAAGCCGCCGATGAGAGAGTACACCTGGTGGGAGTGGGGTGCAGGGAGGGAGGCCGATGGATGCAGGCCGTCAAATATAGAATCGAAATGACGGCTCCAATGAGCGCATACAGGTGACGGTATGATTCTGGGAGGGGTACCGGGTTTCGCGCTAAACAGGACGGCGAAAGCAGGATGGAAGCAGGAGGCCAAGTGTGGTTCGTAGTGTGGGAAGTTGAGAGGACGGGTTGGCTGTGCGTGTGGCAAACAGGACCTTGTTGGATTCGGTGACGATGGAAGGCAAGGGATTGAGTGTGGAAACTCGAACTGTGAAAGATTAAGAATGGAAGGGCGGTGCATGTGCGAGAGAGCAACCTTGTTGGGTTCAGTGATGTTGAAGGCGCGGTGCTCCATGAGCCTCTTGACCGCCTCCACGTTCCCAGGGATGGACGATGATGAAGGCGGGCGGTTAAGTGTAGAAACTCAGTGCAATAAGTTGATGGGAAGGGCTGTGCATGTGCATGTGCATGTATATGTGCATGTGCATGTGCATATGCATATGCATGTGCATGTGCATGTGCATGTGGGATGGGAGCAACTCACCTTGTTGGGTTCCGTGATGATGAAGGCGGGGTGCTCCATGAGCCTCTTGACCGCCTCCACGTTCCCAGGAATGGACGACGCCGCCTGCAGCGACAGCCACTTGTTCATCACCAGCCCGTCGTGCTTCCACTGCTCGTAGAACGCCTGAAGCGCCTCCTCCCGGGCGGCGCCGGGGTTGAGGCAGAGCGCGGCCAGGGCGGCGAACTGGTCGGTCATGTTGCTCGCCGCCCGGAACTCCGACAGGGCGAGCGCACCAGAGGCCTCGTCGTCCAGCGATGCCAGGTACACTGCAGGAAAGGGGGGTGGAAGAGGGTAGGAGCGAGATGAGGGGACGCGAGATGGAGATGAAAGGAGGGGGCACGCAGTGAGAGCATCAGGCATGGAGTTGAAGGGACAGAGAGGAGGCTTTGGGAGACGGAGATGGGGTATGAATGGAATGAAAGGCGATGGCATCACGGCTGATGCTGTGGCTGCGAGACTCACAGAGAGCAGCGTTTTTGAGGGAGCGGCGGGCCATGCTGGCGTGCTCTGGGCTGTACGCCTCCCCTTCCGGCGCCCTGTTGCTCTCCACCTGGGTTGGGGAAGCACGGGGCAAGCAAGCGACATACCGAGAGCATGGGAGTGAGGGGCGCGAATAGGCAGTAAGGGATGGCCCTATCAGACCCTCCAGTGAATGTCTCTCTCCTGATATAAGAAATTATTTATTTTCAAATAAGCGTTTGGGCCTACCAGAGCCTCCAGCGTGGGGCGCAGGCGGGTGGCGATCTGCTTGACACAGAACTTGCGCACGGCGTGCACGGCATCCGGGTCGGCATACGGCGTCATGAGGTCGGCGATCTCACTCTCTCCTGGCAGGGAAATGACTCGCGCAATGAACATCTGTGTCATGCACATTGCACGTTGACAGGGAAAGGAAGAAAAGCACAAGGGCTCAGTTGAGAAGCCGTGTGCAGCTTGGGTGTGAGTTGCTGCCTGCCTACCCTGCAGCATCTAGGTGCTGACACACGGCACATGACTACGCCTTGCAAGAACAAGAGCCGCGTGTGCCATTTTACCCATGGGTGCCATTTTACCCATGGGTGCCATTTTACCCATGGGTGCCATTTTACCCATGGGTGCCCCCCGACGGCACATGTGAGAGAGAGAGTGCCCGCACCTTGTCCAGTGACGTGTCATCCAGGATCTTGGCGAGGGCGTCGGTGAAGTCATCCTCCATATGGAGCGGCTTGTTACTGCGATAGTCGTCCACCATCCTCAGCAGCATCTTGCGTGCCAGCACCTGGCATGCCTCCCACCTGCCATGGCGATTATGGGAGAGAGTGAGAAAGAAATAGAACTAGACTATGAGAAACACAGAAAGCGGGAGGAGCGAAAGGAATGAGAGGGTTTGTTAGAACCATTGTGACGGGCGAAATAAGAATGCATATGGTAACTATTCAAGTAACCAGTCAGGTTGTAAGGCGTGAGGGGACACCTGTTGAACTCATCAGAGTCATTAGCGAGGAGGAAGAGCCAATCGGCATGCGACAGGTCAGCGTTGAGGCGCACGGGGGCACTGAAGCCACGGAGCAGTGAGGGCACGGGGCGGTGCGGCACGTCCGTGAACGTGAAGTCTTGCTCTGCCTGCTCCAGTGCGTGAGGGGGAGAGGGAATGAGTCATTGAGGTTTGGCAAGGAGATATCTGATGTGCGTGCGTGAAGGTGAAGCGCCGCCGCTCCGCCTGTTGGCATGTCGGGCAGGGCTTGGGTAATTAGGTGGTGGGTATGGAAGCCAAGGAGAGCAAAAAGCTCCCATCCAACCACGGCCAGCAGAAACAACACCCTTGGGCCGCAATCGTCTTCCCATAGGCCGTGGCTTTTACCCCTTCTTATCTTTCCCCCCTCTTTTACGCCTCTCGACGCCCTTCCCCGCACACCTTGTTGAACCGCAGCACAGTCGTGGTGGGCCCATCGAGGTCAGTGAGCTTCGCCCCATCGAACACGTGCAGCAGCGGCATGTCCTTGCCTCCTTGAACCCCTCTACAATCCCCCCACTCCTCTACATTCCTTCCCTTTCCCCCCACCCCTCTCCTCCCTTCCCTGCACACCTTGTTGAATCGCAGCACGGTGGTGGTGGGTCCATCCAAGTCAGTGAGCTTCGCCCCATCGAACACGTGCAGCAGCGGCATGTCCTTGCCGTCCGGCCCCACCAGCCCCACCGCCAGCGGGATGAGCACGGGCAGCTTGCTGTCCTGCCCGGGCGTGGCAGGGATTTCCTGCCTGCAGTCGGCGCAAGGAAGAGTGCACAGTTTAGGAGCAGGGATAAATAAATTTAGGAGCAACAGGCGGAGTTCAGTTGAGGAGCAAGGTGGAATGCAGCTCAACAGTATCACAATCAGAATCAAGTTAAGATAACCAAAGCAGGGAGTGGCTTACTTGCAGTGCAGGGTAAAGGTGTGGTCTTTCTCGTTGTACGATGACGTCACGGTCACCACGGGCGTGCCTGCCTGGGACAACCTGCAGCAGGCCAACATGAAAGGAGGTCGTATTTTGTAATGCGCTGTCCTATGACATAGAGGTCAAGAATGGCAGCTGTACTGTGCTACAGTACAGAACAGAACAACACACTAAGTACAGACATACAGACAACGAGATGGAACCAACCAAGAGGGCAGACTGGAACGGACTGAACAGAAGGGATGAGACGAGATGGGATGCAGTGCAGGAAGAGGTGCAAGCGATGAGAGGCGAGGAGGTACCAGGGCTTGAAGCCCTCGAGCTTGTCGTTGTTGGCATCAGCCATGGCGGCAAAGAAGTCATCACACGTCACTGCCTGCCCATCATGCCGCTCGAAATACAGGTCCATGCCCTGCCAGGAAGGGGGAGAGAGCACAGAGGCTATTTAAAAAGAAGTCATCGCACGTCACTGCCTGCCCGTCGTGGCGTTCGAGATACGGGTACATGCCCTGGCAGGAACGGGAGAGACACAGAGAGTGCATGCGTTTGAAACACCCCAATTTTTCCCTGCCTGCCTGCATGGTGCGCTAAGTACAAATCCATGCCCTGGCAGCCAGGGGGGGAACGAGCACAAAGTGAATGCAGACCCAGAAAGATGGAGGGCAGGCTATGAGATAGAGCAATCCCAATTGAAAAGATCAAGCAAAGCAGACGCTCAACCAGAAACGTGCTCCCACGTTCCAGGGCCTCCACTGCTTTTGAGTCGACTCAAAAGCAAACGTGGTCCCACGTTCCAGGGCCTCCACTGCTTTTGCTCCCAAACCCCACGCTCCCACCCACCCCAAACTCCCACCGCTTGCCATCCGCAAGGCACCGCACCCGAGGCCTAGACGCAGGGGCGTGTGACGCTGCACTGACCTTCCTGAAGCCGTCCTTGCCCAGCAGCGTCTGGTACATCTTCACCACCTCCGCCCCCTGGTGTGGTGTGGTGTGGTGTGGTGTGGTGTGGTGTGGTGTGTGTGTGCCATGCAGCGCAGCCCCATCATGTGGCATGTCATATGCACGTGCGCACCCATTACGCATGGCATGTGCAAGCATAGAGCATACCATGTACCATATGAGCAATGGCAATGCCATGCCACACCACATGCCACACCACAACATGCAATGCCATCCCATTTCATGTCATCCCATCCCATCTCATGCCATGGCACGCCATTCCATAATGCCAGATGAACGAATGCAAGGAGAGCAAACAAAGATCACAACTTGGATTAGGGCGATAAGGAACAGGCCAGTGCAATACAAGGGTGCACACAGGCCAGTACAAAAAATCAACAACTTTTCAAAAGGTGAAACACTGAGTGGAGAGCACAGTGAGGGGAAGGGGGGGGGGGAGAGGTGGGTCAGGGAGGCCAGGGAGACGGGAAGGTTGGGGGGACGTTTCGGGGAGTGGGGGAGTGAGAAGAGGGGGAGTGGAAAGAGGGGGGTCGGGAGAACCACCTTCTCATAAACGGTGACTGGTGGATTGCGTTGTTAAATAGCAGCAGCCCAGCACAGCATCGATGAATGGGAGGGGATGAATGGGAGGGGATGAATGGGAGGGGAATTCGAAAGGGTTAGTTGTGCTGGCATGAGGTGCTGAGGCGATGAGGTGATAGCCGCGTGATGCACATGAGAGCAGGACAGGCACACAGGGCCAGCAGGGTGGCCGGAAACACGCACGAGGAAACGGGATGGTGCGGGGCAGAGGGGAAGATGCGTGGAAAACGCAACAGAGGGGAGGATGATATCAGCGGATTTCAAGAGAAGGTGTGAGTGAGGTGGAGGTGGAACGCGCACCTGTGTAGAAGTTGTCCATCTGCAGTGATGGGATGGGCAGGCAGAGGAGGAGGCGGAACAGCACACACAAAGAGAGTTACTAGTCGGTTCAAAGGTCAACTTGGCGCGAACAAAAGGGGTAATTCAACTGGGCAGGACGAAGCATTCCGCATTGCACATGACACACGAGGCATGACGATGGGATGTAAAGCAAGGGTCTTTCGTGCACTGCTCACGCTCACTGCTCACCTTGATGTATGAGCTGGGGCGGACAGGGTGCGCCATGGGACCTGCATCCTGCACCCCGGCAACACGAGGACCAGAAGAACGTTTCAAGGGTCTCATGACAAGAAGAAGCAGAGCGCACAAGGAGACAGCACGTTCTTTCGATGGAACGACCACCCAGGTGTGAGCTCCAAGAGAGGATTCCACAAAACAAGCATCGAAGTTTGCTTGGGTGCAGTTGTGAAAAAGGGAGCGCAGATATAATGGAAGGAAACGAGCCTCGGAGAAATGGTGGGCGCTCGCAAGAAAGCCACAAGCACAGGCAGCTGGAATCTCCCTGCTTCGTGAATTCGTTAGCGCAACGCACCTCGGAGAACTGGCGGGCACGCAGCACTGCCACGTTGGCAATGCGCTCTACTGCACGGCTGTTCATGTCCGACGAAAACTCCTGAAGGGGTTGAGATGAGGTGCGATGGGATGATATGTGGTAAGAAGGGGTGAAATGCAATAAGGTGAGATGGGTTGGGATGGGGTGACACAGGTGAAATGGGGTTGAAGAGAGAGGGTGCACAAGGCACCCTTTCCATAACCTAAAAGACTGCTACAGATACCACACGCACCAAATACTTAAGCTCACACCATGGCATGCCGCAAGCCCAAGCTCTCGCCTATTGCACCTCCCATCATGCCCCACCCGCCCTCTTCTAGCTGCACTGCTCTGCCCACCATGCCCCACCATGCCCCACCATGCCCCACCATGCCCCACCATACCCCACCGTGCCTTACCTGGTCGCGGAAGACAGTGAGCCCCTCCTTGAGCGTCAGCTGGAACCAGTCGCGGCACGTCACCCTGGCAGACAGCGCAGGGGCGAAGAGGGCACCGGGAGAGGGCACGAGGGGGACAGATGGAGAGGAGGCACAGTGCAGAGTTGTAAAAGGGCACGGGGAAAGTCAGGGGAGTGAGGTGGAAGACAGTGACTCCCTCCTTCCTTGAGCGTCAACTGGAAGGAACCAGTCCCGCAACGTCACCCTGGCGGATTGTGAGGAAAGAAGGGGCAAAAAGGCGAAATGGGAATAGTTTGGAGTGGGAGAGCAGAGGCCGGAAAAAAGAGAGGCAGGGGGGTATGGGAAGGATATGCGTGAGCAGAGGGAGCTGTCAGGCAAGGCAATTTTTGAACGCTTGAGACAGAAAGGTCTGCTTGCCGACATGCCAGCAGCGCAGCAAAAGGCTCACCTGTTGCCCGTCCAGTTGTGGAAGTACTGGTGAGGTGTGAGTCGTGGCAGTGAGGCCCGTGTTTGAAGGGCAGCGCGGAGCAGCAGCGGAAAATGGAGACACAGCACACACCATCCCCACCACCTCACATACCAAATCACACCAACCCGTTTAGAACACACACGCAGAACACACACACATACCCCCCTCTCCCCCCCACATCCCCCTTTCCACGCACACATACGCCCACCACACAAACACATATGCACACCACCACACACACACGCACATACACAAACAAGGAGTGTGGTGTGGATGAAACACTAGAATCCCAGACGAAGCCCCCTGAACAGGTGGAGCACAGCCGAGCAGGAGGTGGGACGGGGGAAAGGCGATAGCAAAAGCCAAACAACCCAGCAAGAGCCGTGAGTGGAGCAGGGAGGACGGGGAGGGGGAAGGGGGTGGGGGGGGGGGTAAGGGGGGGAAGGGGAGGGGGAGCGAGCGGAGGGGAGAGGGGGGAGGGAAGGGGGAGGGGAGTTCGGAGGCGGGGTGGGAGAGGCAGAACAGCAATGGAAGGGCAGGCATGGCGTGTAGCTGTTGCTATCCGTGGCCGGTACGCACCTCATGAGCAATAACCCCCTCGATGGCCGCATAGTCACCATCCGTGGCTGTCTCTGGCGAGGCGAGAACAAGACGCGAGTTGAAGATCTGCCGTGGGGGATGGGGCACACGGGCGGCAGGAGAGACAGGGGCAAGAGGGGGGACATGCGGGAGGGGATAGGGGCAACAGGGGTTCAGGAAGACGTGAGAGACCTGGATGAACGGTCTATTGAGGAGAAGGCAGCACCGATGCAGCACAGGAAATGCTAGTAGTAGCACATTAAATGAGACGCTGGTGGCAGATGAAACGCTAGTGGCAGATGAAACGCCGTGTGTAAAGAATCTCAGATTGGCGGCACTCACGTTGAGGCTCTTGTTCTCCATGGCCCCCATGTTGAAGTCCGGCACCTGGTGAGTCATGCAGGTGGTGGGGAGAAAGTAAAAACAACTTACGTGAACAGGACGGGGAGGGGGTGGTTTGGGCGGTTTATACGAAGAGAGGAGCGTGGGAGAAGGGAGACCGGAGGGGGCGCGGATTACAGGCAGCAGAAGGAAAGCAGCAGAGTATTGAACGGCAACACGCATGGCCAAGGCCCAGATGAATGGGTGTGGTGTCGTGCACAGTCCTAGCATGCAACCTCCATGTGCCACTTGGTAACCCCCACTGGCCCCCAGCACTCACAGCAACAACGTTGAAGAGGTCAAGATCGTACTCCCTGCCGAACACCTGCAGCACCACAGCCGAGGGACACACAGGGACACACACGGAAGCACAGGGAAGCAACACCATGAACCTTCATCCTATCGCGCACACTAACACACAAACAACCCCTTCGAGCAGCATCACAAATGGCCCTTCCGGTTTCACATTTCCCCGTCCCACCCACTCTCCTCCAGAGGAGAATCTTCAAACCCACCCACCCACCCACCCACCCACCACTGTCCCCATCCCCCCATCCCTCACCCCACCCATCCCCCATCCTCCTATCCCCGCCCCTTCTTCCCCCCTTCCTCCGCACCTCCTCGTCCCACCGGAACGACTCCTTGAGCGACTTCATGGCATGCGCGGTGCGGCCCTCATCGCCCGCATTCACCCAGATGCGCAGCGCCACCTCCCTCCCGCTGCACGTCACAAACTTATCCTCGCAGCACACCAGCTTCCCCGCCACCAGCGCAAACAAATAACTCGGCTTCGGCCACGGGTCCTCCCACACCGCATAGTGCCGCGCACCCTCCCCCTCGCCCAGCACGCCGGAGTCGATCTGGTTACCGTTGGAGAGCAGCACGGGGCAGGCGCTGCGGTCGGCCTCCATGCGCACGGTGAAGCGGGACATGACGTCGGGGCGGTCCTGGTAGTACGTGATGCGCCGGAAGCCCTCCGCCTCGCACTGCGTGCAGAAGTTGCCGCTTGAGCGGTACAGACCCTGTTGCAAAGCAAGAGGTGAGGCGGGGGGACGTGGCATTCAACCATGAGGGCACAGGACCACAGGTGGGTGGGTGAGTGAGTGAGGAGGTGAAGCGATGAAGCCTGGGGAGGTGGATGATATGACAGGGCAGAGTGCCGCACAGGCGGACGCACCACGCCACACAATGACCGCATGCCACATGCAGACCCTCATCACACAATGGGGGCAAGCGGGGGTACCTCGAGGGATGTGTTGGCAGCGGGGTTGATGCGAGTGACGATGGCGAGGGTGAAGGGCGATGCAGGCGGGGCGAGCAGCGTGAGCTTCTTGCCCGTCTTCACATACTCCTCCGCCTGCCAGCGCGCACCACGGTGAATCGAATAGGACAGAACAGAAAAACTCGGCAGGCGGAGAGCATGAGTGAGGTGAACGCCAGCGATGCGTTCGGCATGCCCTTCTCCATGAGAAGCCCAGCCCACAAGCCTGTGAAACTGCACCCTTGTAATCATTCGGTTTCGAAACTCACTGGCACATCAACACCGTTGATCTGCAGAGACACCAGCTCCAAATCGTGGCCGTCCAACACCAGAGGAGCAGACCCGTTCTCTGATAATCAGACAAAGAATAGAAAAAAAAAACGAGCCGATGACTTTCATGCAGGAAGCGCAAGTGATGCAAAAGTCAGACGACCCTCCATGCGCTGTCGAGCCAACCCAGCGACGGGCCGAAACCAGTTTGTGACCACTAGTGGTGGCCTAGCACTGCCCTGGCTCACCTGGCTTCTCCGCCTTGTCATTCGCAACAACAGTGATGGCGGACTTGACGAGGGTGTAGTCGTCGTGCAGATCGAAATCCAGTGACACCTGATACAATACCACGCAAGATGTAGGATTCAAAGGGGACAGGGAAAACACGGCTCTCACGACGCACGGGGCAACTGAAAGAAAGTGAAGGCCTAATTGTAGTAGCGAGAGAGTGCAATGTTTTCAACCCAGTCAACCCAGTCAATCCAGTCAACCGAGACAACCGAGTCAACCCAAGGATCCCACCTTGTCGAAGAGGTACGACGGCGGCTTGTAGTTCGCGAGGAAGATCTCCTGCGGCTTCTCCTCCTCGCCCTCCGCCGCCGCGCCCTCCTTGGCAGCGACCGCCAGCCCCGCTACCGCGCCATCGGCGGAAGCAGCCGCCTCCTCCCGAGCCGCAGCCTCCTCCGTCATTTGCTGCACGGGAATACGGGATGTGGTGGGAAGAATGAATTAACTTTAGTCAGTGAACAGCATCGCCAATGAAAAAACTCACGAAAGCATTGAAGCAACTTGGAATTTCGCGGACAGAAGTTCGCTAATCTGTCGGCTCAAGCACTGCGAATTAGCGTAGCGCGTAACATAGTAGCAGAAAAACTCGGTCGTGTAAGATCCCTAAATGTACAGAAGCATCGAGGGGGATCTAACCTGCGTGTTAGAGCCGGAAGAGAAGCCGCGAATGGAGCTCGGAGCAGATCCGATCGCAGCACCAAATCCGATCCCTGACGTCGCGACAGCACCAGAAACGGGTCCTGCGGCGCCGGCGATGGCAGATGCTGCACTTCCAACCGTCGATTTGCTCCCGCCCGGCGATGCGACGGTCGTCGCAGGCGACTGCGTGAGACCAGCGACGCCCTTGAGCACGGATCCCGCTGCTGCCGCTGCTTGCATGATCGCGCGAGAACGGGTTTCGCGATAAAATCGGCGAGGGATCGGATTAGGCTGCTTTGAGGAATTAACGAGCAAGAGCCCTAACCCTGAAAGGCGTGCTAGGAGCCTCTGACTCGCCACCTTGGAATTCCTCCGGAATCTGAAATACTTGAGTGTGGTGTGGGTCTAGACTAGAATGGCATAATTACTGAAAACCATTCCAGGATAGGGTATCATAGGCCCTCACCTCTGAGTGGGTTCCACTGGATAGGTGTGATCGACATGTAGTTACCCAATCATGATTTCGCACCCACTCTCACTCTTGATCAATCTCGCAAACCGTCGCAAATGCGCAACTTGTATTCTTGTTCCCCGCCCAAACCTTTTTTGTCTGATAATTCTTTATGTATCGAGTACTCCCTATAACAGAACTATTCGGCATACACTAATACACAATCACAGCAGACCGTGGCGAGGAAATTAGTGTAGCAAAGCTGACTTTAGTACAGTACGTAGGTGCCAGGTATTGTACTTAGTCGCCAGGTAAGCAAGCCTGTGGTCGATAGCTGGCGAGGTTGTACCTATTTTCCAACCTCGAGTTTCTCCCCGTCCATCTCGGTGCCTATGTCGAGCCAGCTCCATGAGCCAGGTCCGGCACGCGTTAATAGCTGTGTGACTAGTGCCCACCGAATTTTGCACATCTTACCGCATTGTTTTGTGACGGCCTTTCGGATGTTCCCATCCCAGGTTGCAGATCAGATCCGAGCCGAACGTTGACCGTTGACGGTCTTTTTAGGTCGGTGACCGGCGTGACGTTGCTGTGCTGTGCGTCTCGTCCAACGAAAACAAAAAGAATGACTATGCAGTCGTCCCGTCGCTTTCACTGTCAGACAAGCCACACAGCAAGCGGACGATTTGCCGACGCTTGCAGTATCTTTCCACCCACGTTAACGCGTATCTCGGACTTTCCTGCCATGTGTCCGATCCTCTCAGTATTGAGGCTCCGCGAAACTCGTCCCGCTACATGCCTTCGACCGCGTGAAGCCAAATCGGCGTTGACCGGAAATGATGAGGTGCGATCCCGGCAGGCGATGTTCGAGTCGACTCAAAAGTCGACCAACTATTTGCAAGAACGCATTTCTCTCCTCAGAATCCCGTTACGGGGACACGCATCAGAGATCAATCTCGGCCATCACGACGCCACACATGGTCGCCGTGTTTCAGACTCCAGAGTCTAGAAGTCGCAGGACGGTTCGTGGAGTCGCGTCGTGATGACAAGCGACGACGCTGCTGCATGCCCCGTCCCCGCCATTGACTGGCGCTTCGTGTCACGCGAAGAGATCGCGCGGCTGGCGCAGCAGGGCCTAGTCGCCACCGCCGTCGATTCCGCCGACCGCGGTTCGATCCGCGACGACAGCAACTTGCGCCGCCGCCGCCTGCGCCGCGTGGCTCGTGAGGCCAGTGCGGAGCTGGCGCGCGTGGTGGCGGAGTGGCGCAACGAGGACTTCCGCCGCCGCGACCCGCAGGCGGTGGCTGTGCTGGCGGCGGAGAGGCATCAGCATGGGCGCAGCCTCAGCTGCAGCGATCTGGGCGGACTGAGATGTGGCTCAGAAGACGACCGCGAGTGCCGGTTATCCTGGGCAAGTGAGGCTTGCGGAAATGGCTTAATATCGACAGCATTGGCACAAGAAAGTGCACACGCGACTGGGGTTAGTAGCAGGCAGGCAGGCCCCAGCACTGCTTCACTGTACGGTTCCCCATCACATGCATCGTGGAGCTCTGATGCATCCCGGCACCAGGGAGGGGTAAGCCCGAGCGTGCTGCTGCCGGAGTTGTGCCCGTTTCCACCAACGGACTGGCGCCATGTGGCGATCGCTGACAGTCCTATCTCCTCCAGCCGTCTCTCTCATTATGACAGAGATAACGCCTCCCTCACTCCCTCTCTATCTCCTACCTCAACAAGTGGTTCACACCAAAGAGCCTAGCTCGTTGCTGCTTGCCAACTGACTTGCTCTAACCACCTCTCCAGTGTCTCGTTATCCTCCAGTATCCCTGCCAGCCTTTGCATTTGTACCTCTGATTGTGACCAGGAGGGTCTAACTATACTACCTAACGACAACCACTCACTCAGGTAGCAGCAGCATTACAAGGAGAATATACGGCACTGGCCTGGCGTGCGTCAGACCAAAGAGTTGACCCCTTGTGTTAGATTAGATCCATCTCAGGTCAGGTCAGACTCGTACACTTCTGTTCTGTGCAGTGCATGGGTTGTATCACACGGTTTGATGTGGTTCAGTTGGGAACTGGTCCTGCCGCTGCGTCGATTGAAGATGCTGCACTAACTGTTGATTTGCTCCCGCCGGGCGGTCTGACGGTCGTCCCAGGCAACTGCGTGATACCAGTGACGGCCTTTAGCAGGGATCTCGCTGCTGCCGCTGCTTGCATGATTGCGCGGGAACGGGTTTCGCGATGAAGTCGGCGAGGGAATGGATTAGGCTGCTTTGAAGAACTAACGAGGAAGAGGCCTAACCCTGAGAGGCGTGGTAGGAGTCTCTGACAGTCTAACTTGCCACCTTGAAATTCCTGCGGAATCTGAGATACTGGAGTATGTGGTTCTAGAAATGGCTGACTGTACCTAGGCTATCATACTCGTGTTGAGAGAAGCTCTGAATGAAAGGGCTGGTACGGCTGGTTTGGCGTTGTCTGACATATAGTTACCCGGTCATGTTTTCGCACCTTCCCACCACCCAAAACCTAAATAGCAGGCACTAGGTTAGTTTGCCCATAAAATTATCCCTGCCCAAACTTTGACCTGCCTTGTTGATTCATAACCCCTTGACCCAATCGCAGCACACCATGGCGAGACATTTACTGCAACAACGGAGACTTGAAGAGGTGACACTCGCACCTTTGTTGCCGAGCGGAGTACAGTTTGTAGGTGCCAGGTATTTTACATAGTTGACTGTTAGTCGCCAGGGAAGCAGGCCTGCGGTCCATGGCTGGCGATGTTTTACGATTTCCCAATCCTGAGTTTCTTCCGTCCATCTCGGTGTGTAAGTCGATCCAGCCCGACTAGCCAGATCCGACACGCGTCAATAGCTGTTTGACTAGTGCCCACCGAAACTTTCATGTCGTACTGCTTCGTTGATGCCCACTCGACTGATTTCAGAACTTTCCTGGATTGACCGTGACTGTTGACCTGCTTTCTGGGTCGGTAACGCGGAGCTTGAAGCTGCGGTTCGGTGGGTACAGACCGACAAAAACGAGTAATTAGTTGTGCAGATGTCTTGTCGCCTTCGCTGCCAGACTGACTTAACCTCAATGGACTATTTGCCGGCGCGTTATCTATTTACCATGTTAACGCGTGACCTCGAACTTTTCTGCAATGTTTCGGAGCCTCTTGGTGTTGAGGCTCCGCGTAACGCGTCGTTGGAACGCCATATTCCTTGCACCTTGTGGGAGCAAAGCAGCGTCTGTGAATGGGGATGGCGACGTGCTATCCACGGCAGCCGACAGCCCAACTTCGAGTCGACTTTATTAATAATCATCGCCATCTATTCGCAACTACTAGTAATCGACCAACGATCCGCGACAGCGCTCGTCTCTCCTCACTATCTCGTCTCGCTCCTCGAGCCCCGTCTCGCGTCTCATTCCTCGTGCGCCGCATATCGTCCTTCCGGCGTTAGTCGCAACGGATCGAGCGGGCCGCCGGTCGTCACATTGAACCTATTACGATCATGCCCCACCCTAGCATGGACTGCGTAACCCGCCTCGATCACTCTCGGCCAGCGCAATGTTAGGCTGGAATAATACTCTCGAGGACCGCGAGGTACGGCTGCACGCTGATGAGGTAATGTGGTGTGGAATAACGACGCTACACATGGTTGCCGTGTTACAGATGTTACAGACCCCAGAGTCCACAAGAATCGTCGGACAATTCGTGAAGTTGCGTCGGAATGACGGGCGACGACGCTGCTGCATGCCCCGTCCCCGCTATTGACTGGCGCTTCGTTTCACGCGAAGAGATCGCGCGGCTGGCGCAGCAGGGCTTAGTCGCCACCGCCGCCGATTCCGCCGACCGCTGCACGATCCGCGACGACGACGAATCGCGCCACCGCCGCCGCCGCCGCCTGCGCCGCGTGGTGCGCGAGGCGAGCGCGGAGCTGGCGCGCGTGGTGGCGGAGTGGCGCAACGAGGACTTCCGCCGCCGCGACCCGCAGGCGGTGGCGGTGCTGACGGCGGAGAGGCATCAGCATGGGCGCAGCCTCAGCTGCAGCGATCTGGGCGGACTGAGATGTGGCGCAGAGGACGAGGGCGAGTACGGGTTAACCTGGGCAAGTGACGGATGTGAAAATGGCTTAGAAACGACAGCAGCGGCAGAGGAAAGAGCTGAAACAACTAGGGTTAGTAGCAGGGTGGAAGCGGTAAGGCCGAGTATGCTGATGCCGGAGCTGTGCCCCTTTCCACCAACGGACTGGCGCCACGTGGCACCTGCTGGCAGTCCTCTCCCCTCCAGCCGTCTCTCCAATCACGACAGAGATATT